GATATGCAACGCGTGATAACAGAACACGTGCAGATTGGATTGCGTGTCGTTCATCTCCCGTCCCTTGGTGAACGTAATCGTGGGCTACGCGAGACCGTGTTTATCATTAACACGTGCAGAGTTATTATTCGTTCGTGAGATTAACCATGAAATACGACGACTCGTTCCTATCGTTCATATGATAAACCGAAAAATAGTCGTTGTCGCCTCTCTGGGAACCGGGATCAAATTTTTGGAGAATTTTTTAATATTCCAAGAAAGGCTTGCCACCGAGCTGCTTTTTCAAAGTGAAAATGTAAATTTTTGTGAGAGTGAGATGCTCGAGAAATTTTCAGGAAAGTTTAGTGTACCACCAGAGAAAATTACGCAAGGTATGATTTAAATTATTTCGAGAGGTGGCGTGATACGCGTTACGATGTGCAATTTGAAACGCAGAAACGTTAGTTGTAGTTTCGCAGTGGGTAATCGTGTTAATTTTGAACAAAATGATGTGAGACCTTTATTCTAGGTTATTGTACACACTTGTGCATAAAAATTTGAAATTCTGAATAGAGATTTGAACGTATAGTAGGGTACTCTCTATATTATTCACCGTACGAAATTCCCTAAATAATGAAAGGAAGAAAAAAAATATTTCCAAATCACCGCAACTTCTGCAACAGTCCAAGTATACAGATATCCATTAAATTGTTAATTCGTTGGGCTATCCAGTCTCAGTTCTCAAAAAGAACGATTCAGTGCACGAATTCCGTAGAAACAAAAAGTAGCAAAAAAAAAAACAAAAACAAAAAGAACACACACTTTTAAGCTACTATAACTTCTAAATCAAATAACCAAGCACGAGCCGAACTGTTCGTTTCCTCTTTCAAACGGGATTCTATTATATTTTCATCTTCAATTAAAAAAGTGCTAAAACCCATTTACCGCACGAGAAAGACGAATCAAATTCAAATTCAAAGACGAACTTTTTTACTTTCTCTAAAGTTCTAAAAAAAAAAAAAAAAAAAGAAGAAAAAGAATCTTCAAAGACTCGCGATCGAACGGACCTGGTCGACACGAGGTGACCTTAAAAACGGGCAGCTCCAACTGCGCTTAACATCAATCGCGCGAACGCGAAACTGGATCGGTTGAATCATCGACGAAGTCGGGCGAAGTCGATGTTTAAAAGTCGAAACGCTCTCGCGAGCGTGCTAATTCCAAACGCAACCGGTCGATTCCGTAAGGGGAATCAAGGAGGACGCCAAAAACGGGTCTGCGATAGTTTTCTAGCCGTGCAGCTGCACCCGGTGCAAGCTCTGCTGTTCGATAACCGAGGTGCAACGGCCGTCGGCCCCAAGAACGTATCTAGGCCACCGGCACCAGCATTTCCACCACCACCACCACCGCTGGCACCACCATCAATATCATTGCTACTGCTACAACCATCGCCAGCCATCGTTGCATTAATACTGCAACATTGTTGTTGTTGCTGCAATAATATTGTTACACACGAGTGCCAATGCCAATGAATTGAGGAATTCGCGTTTTTTCTCCAATAATCGTTGGATCGAGCAAGCTTAAAAGGAAAACAGATGGTTGAGAGCAAAGCTTGCTGTAAAAAGTACGTTTCTCCAATTAGGAGCGAGGAGGCGAGGTTGTTTTTACACTTTTGCATCGTGTAATACGTCCGAGGACGAGCGGATTCTTTCTTGATTAAAGTTTAAGTTTAAGTCAAGTGTTTCGTTGAGACTCGAAGGCCGAGCACTCGTACCGCTTGTCTTTTGAGCTTTGTGTACATTAGTATAAACTGAACAGACAATTTTGAAGTTAGTATTGACTATAAAAAAAAAATTGGGTACAGTGAGAATTGTATGGTTTCGAGAAACACACAGTTTGGAATATCACTGTGCAATATCTTTTTCGATGAAACATCCTACTAAAGTTGAGATCTTTAAATTTAGTTCCTGAAGATCATCGAAGTGTTCGAATTCAACCTGTTTATTTAACATTGGATCAAAAGACTTCAAACTTCTTCGTGTAAATACCATGAAATTTCCTTTGAAATATATTTGACAAATGGGAGCAAATATATTTGACGTTTCTGATACATAACATGAGAAAATGCGTCAATGATAACGTATCAAAAGCGTTGTTCGACGATTAAAAATGAAAATAATTTTGAAACAATATAATAGTATTCCGCGTTTAAAGTGAAAGCGCACAAGTTTTATAATATATTCATAACATTGGTGAAAAAAATATTGACAATACCGAGATATTGAATAAGAAATATTGAATAAATATTGATCATTGAAATATTAAAATACTGAATATGAAATATTGAATAAATATTGATCGCTGAAATATTGAAACGTTGAATATGAAATGTAACTACGGCACAATTATCATAAGGCAGATTCTAAATACGTTCACAGTATTGCTATCAGAGACTCGACTATATTACCGCCGTTAATCGATGTGAAAGGTCACTACTATTTTTTTTTTATTAAACGTATGCACTTTGATAAATACTACGAGGGCAAAGTTACGTATGTTTTTCCAAAATCACTACTGCATGAAACACATTTCGTCAAGCATACACATTCCCAAAAACAAATTCCCAAATCACGTCTCAAATATCCCGCCTTGAAAATAATATTTCGTTATAAAATAAGAAATTTCCCAAATTTATCTAAATCGAAACAATCGCATCGATGTTTTAAGAGACTTCTTCTAGGAAACAACCGTATACGATACCGTACAAAACAATCACTCGAAATTTCTAAACATCAGTTAAAAGTTTTAATATTAATATTTAATATTTTTTTCTTTTAGTATTTAATATTTTTTTCAAGATACGTTGAAATACTTCCCCCATGTTTCAATCTTTCAATTTTATATCACACAAATTCCCACGAACTAATAATTAAATATTCTACACGACAAATATGTTACACAAGAAGAACTAAAACATCGAAGTATTTCGTTTTACTAAAATAGTTTCAAAAAAATGGCACAATACCCGATACTTTACCTAAGAAGAACGACCTACACGTGAAATCAATGTCGCCGTCAATGTGTTACAAAATTCAGCAAGGCACGAACGAATCCAATTTCCCTCCTAGCATCAATCAAACATCTACATCAGCAGACGCGCAATAAAACGAAACTACGTTTCGCCTGCACATGAAGATTTCGAAAGCTGTGCCAAGGACGCGATCATTAGTCGCACTGTGCGGAGACACAAGTTTGAACATCGGACCTTCTCACACGCCACCGCCCCTGTCATCGATCCTGTAGCGGAAAGAAACCGAAACGAAAGAACTGCGAGAAGAAGAGGAGGAGAAGAAGGAAGAAGAGGAATATAAAATCTTCCGCGGTGTATAGTGGAAGGACGAGGGATCGCCACATGTTGAGCTCGAACGAGAAAGCTCGTCCACCGTGGAAATGCTACACGCTCGGCTTCTTTGTCGTGTAAACGCGCCAGAGAAAGGGACGTCCGCGGCGATCGGGAAATTAAAGCCAAGGACAGACTGCAACCTATCTTTGAGGTAGGATCGAACAACGGAAAAAGGGAGGGTCGCGTTATTGCCGTATTTATCGACGAGCCAGTGGTGGACTCGGAGGTTTTTCCTGGACAGCCAGAGCGCACTTGACTCGGTTGTTGGATGTCGCGCGCTCGAGCAACGTGGAGCAAAGCAAACGGGGGAAAGTTTCTGGCGAGGACGCCCTCACAGTGGATTGAGAATTCGCGCGACCTTTTTTTTTGAACGAAATTTGACATTTAAATATTTATAAAAAATATCCCATTTCCAACGCGATATACAACGCGATATATTTCGTGCACGTTTAATCACTGTTCCGTCAACTTTATTTTTCAACGAATTTTTCAAATTTGCTTATTTCGTAGTCTACTTACTGTATTTCTGAACTAATGTAACTAATCACGTGTTTCAAAGTTCGATGCGCGACTTCACAAGCAATGCTTCGTTTAATCTTCCTTTCGCGTACTGTTATCTTGTGTATTTGGTGTATTTGGTATATTTAATCCTCAGAGAGTATCGTTAGATCGCAGACTTAGGTTATGATGAACTGAATTTATACTGGGTAAAATTTAAGGTACTTAATCTTTGTAGTTTAAATTCTTGATGACTAGAGACTAGAGATTAAAAATTATGAGACCATAAATAATTTTCTTTATATTATATAGATAGAATTTAGATTATATAGATAGAATATAGATAAAATATAATTATAGAAGTTTCTTTAAGGTTTAGGGTGTGTTTATATTCTGATACACGACATATGTGTCAGCTTTATGTTTGTATCTTTCAAAGGATAAAGTTGAAGATTTTACTTACTGTTTGATTCATAATTATAAAATTTTGTAACTGTTATTACGAGATTCTTATTATTATATATGCATTATAAAGTTCGAAATTCCCTTGCTTTCGCGTATAAAAGTGTTTCCTCTCAGAATGATTTCTAACTACAAAAATTCTATTAAAAAAAAAAAAGAAAAAATGAAATCGTTTGGGTACTTACACACGAATACACAGACACGTTTGGTCCAACAGAGCTGATGTCCGACGAGATGTATGTGTTTTCAAATTACTTACACGAACAGTTAGCTCGAAGACTCACGCCCACGTCTCCTCGTCGAAAGAAATTTAAATTGCAATAGTTTGCTGGCGCAATTAAAATTTTATTGATGCACAGCTGTAAAGCTATTCGTTATTGATTGATTGACTTGACTCCGCATTTGTATTTTCTCTTTATTCTGCCAGCGTATTGTTTCTAAAAGGAGAGTCAATATCCGGTTTATTGGATTTTTAATTAAATATCGACGTACTAGGCGTATTCAAAAAAGAAGAGAACCTTAGTGTTTAAGTAACACGTTAATCAGCTCGGACAGTGAGAGTAGAAAAATTTCGTCTTCTTTTCTTTTTTTTTTTTTTTTTTTTAACACGCCTCGTATTTAAGTACGACGAACATTTACGAGTGATGTTTTTCTTTTCAAGATGATCACAGCGTTGCCAGTGCCCTCGGTGAAGGTGTTTCACAAAACCTACTATCAGGAAAAAGGGTCCAGGATAGGGAGCAGTCAGCCTGGAAGTCCTTTGGCCGAGAGTGAAGCAGTGCTGGCGCTAGTTGACAAAGAACCTCCGGAATACTATTTCTGTGGAAAGGTAAGAACCATTATATTAATAAACGATAAGTAATTCGATGTTTCTCGAATAAAACTAAACGTGTACACGCGTATTGTATTTAAAGATCACAGGAGAAACACGAGAGGCAATTTTAAGATTCAATCATCAATTTCAATTGATCAGTTGGCAAAATTGTCCTCTTTATGATTGTGATATCAAGTATGTACATATTTTTACATCCTATTCGACACTTTAAAAATATTGGAAATTAAATACAAATTCTTTCGTAGTTACAGTATTTTTGAAAATTCTTTTTAAAAGGAAATCCTAAGACCTTTTTACAATTACAACTAAAAATTAATAATATTCCGAACAGTAATATTTAATAAGTGTCTAGGCATAAATAAAAATCTATCTCAGTCGCGTTAATTCGGTATTTGCTGCATATAATTGACACAGTTCAGTTGCTTTTAAGGTTTCAAAAGTACAAAACAATATACAATGAAAATATCAGAATTTTCTGCGAACAATTGGGATGAAAATGAGAACAAAAACAAAATTACCGTGATTCTTTGAAATTAAAAAATTGTTTTTAATCTCTAACGATAAACGCAATTACACATCAAATTTAAGGAAAACAATGTTTCATAGACGAAGCCTAAAGAAACTTGTGACTCTTTGAAAAAAAAAGATATTCACTATCTTGTTACATCTGAAATTACAAAAAAAAAAAAAAAAAATAGTGAGATAAAATAAAACAGAGTCTAACATGTACAAAATATAATACTAACATTTTCATCGAAGAATGTAGAATGCGATTGCAGGTTACACACTTGTATAATCAACTTTGAAATTACGAATAGAACGAAAGTCGGAGCGAAAAGAATGAATCGCGAGACTGCGGGGGCGTATATTCACGCTTTCCCTCGGAATCTTTTCTTCTGGCAAATACCATTGCTAATTAACTTTATTCGCTTCTCTGTCGAACTCCGTTTCCCGAGGCCCGCGTTTTACCGCCGTCGACAAAAAGTTTTCAATCTACTCAAGTGCTCTCACGATGGTCGAACGTGTTCAAGAAACGATCGCTAATACTTCTACTATACTGCTGATGCAACGTTTCATCTCTCAGTCCGGATGCTCTTTACCTTTTCAATTTCTAAGATGTTAGGCCACTCGTTTCTTGTTCTTTCCTTTACATTTTTAAGAGGAGTTGAGGATCTCTAGCGTATAGCAGAAGTAGCAAATAAATATCTTTTCGTTTCGTTCTAAACGAACGAGTTTCACTGAAATTACTGATTTTTCCGGATGAATATTATTGCTGGAGAGAATGGACATATATAGGGTGATTCACGTAACGTGCACGCCTGAAATGACTTTTAAATTATCGTAAAATATCTCCTTAACCATCAGGTTTGGGACCAATGTGGTTTGATACTTTTTTTTTTTTCTTACTTGGAATTTGATATTCTTTCGATTTATAACGAAAAAAATATATGGTCCAATTAAAAAGGAAAATAAACATAATCTTGAAAATTTCGAAACCCCTTAACACATACAAAAGATTGATTTTGCCGTATTTTGCCTCTCTTAAAACCACACAACTGTTTCATTAAACAATTTTTCATTAGACGCATAATTAAAAAGTTACTTCAGGAGCGAAAGTTACGTGAATCATCCTGTATATAAGAGTTGAAGCATTCGTATAATTTAACGCGTAGGTGTTCCTATTGGAACGTTTAAATCACGAAATGAATACGTTCGTAATATTAGACAGCTGCAATTTTTATAGAACTGCAACAATTTTTATGGGTCATTGCATTTTATTTCGAAATATCTACCCGTTTTTGTATTTCATCATTTAATCAACAGAAGTCACAAAAGTGAAATTAAATGACTCTAACTGTTAGCAAACTCATACAGATCCGTTTACTTAGTCTGTATAACATTTAAAATTGTTGTAAAGATAACACAACATATTTCATTAAACTTTTCCCTACGAAAAGTACGCGTCAGTAATTAAAATGACATCAAACACATACACTTGCAATCGTAAAGAACAATACCACGAACTTTTGATTAAAAACCACGGTACAACCTGATTAGAAATAAAATGTCATACACGCATGTTCATTTGATTAAAAACAACGGTACAACTTGATTAAAAATAAACGAAACACACATATGTTTATCCACAGTTTAATCAGCAAATATCGTACTTTCGCAACGAAATGAAACGTCGCAGAGCATTTCCCAGTGATCTACGTTGATGTAAAAATTTCCATTGAAATTCGCTCTGGGTACAACCACGGAACTGCGCAACTTTCAAATAATTTCATAGTTGCGAAACGGAACTCCCCTGCTATTTGTTCGGGTGAATACCGATGTCATGAAAAATTGTGTCGTATCCTTCATCGGTTTTCCGTCGTCGGTCTCTCTTTATAAATAGAATTTCCAAAGTGAGTTCGATTGAGAAATTCACGGCGGACATGATCCGCGTGCGAATGCGTGAATCGAAGGCGCGCTGGTACGTGCGCGCGCGCGACAAGAAAATCCTGCAGTCGGGAAACAAGGAAAGGGGGCTAGCTCCGAGCTTCGCTTATGAATTTCAAATGATTTCTACTTGAGATTTCAAAGGCAAATTACCCGCGAGCGCGAAACTTTCGGCCGTTCGGAGGGCTATTCGGCGCGATTTACATTTTTTATTGCCGCCAGGGAACTGGGTCGAGATTGGGATTATCAACAAAAATTAAGAAAAAGAAAGGCCGCATGTTCGCGTTCAGATACGTAAAATTAAACTTTGACGTGAAATTAATCTTGAATTAAGAAAAAGAAAGGCCGCAGAAATTCCCCATGTTCGCGTTCAGATACGTAAGATTAAACTTTGACGTGAAATTAATCTTGAGACTGATTGAAATTGAAAGTATCCATCAAGGAAATATGAAACGACAGGAAATAAGTTTTTTGATCTCAGTAACTTTTCCGATCAGTAGGATGTTTAACATGTGAAATTAGTATTAAAGAAAAATATCTTCTTAAAAGAATGAAATTTTTGTAATTGACGATTATTTTGTCTTCTTAAAAAATGAAATTTAAATTCTTGTTGACGTTCTACGAGACGTAAAATAAATTAATTCAGGAAGACAGAGGATACAGACAGAATTTATTTTAATCTCGCATAAAAAGTTTACAGATGAAAAGTTTAAAAATGACTTGACGTATGACTGAAGACAAGATGTATTTAAAGCTTTAAGCATTTAAAGTCAAGATATAAAATTCAGGATTACCAAGTATCATATTTTATGACTGCAATTTCTACCAAACGATAAAGTTTCTCAGAACGTTATCGATAGAATCTTTTCTATGAAAATATTTATCTGTGTTACATTAAAAGATTTTGAATTAATATATCAATTGAAAAAGTACGATTTATCGCCTGACGAATCCTTGAGAAACGCAATAATAGAAAAGTGTCGCCTTCGATTTTGAACTTTGAAACATTCGATATCTCGATTACTCGATAATGATTAAAAAAAAAAAAAAATTTGCACAAAGAAAACAAGAGGAATCTAATATAACATACTGTACGCTGGCAAGATCCGTTAATTTCTATTAGACTTCGAAAGGTGAAGGTTTAAAACAACAAGTTAATGCAAGCATAAACTATGATCATGAAATTTTTATTTTAGAGTTTAATTTTCGTTTTGTCTGAAATTAACATCTTGCCTAATTCTTCATTGCTTAAATTTTTCTTTATAACACAAGATATTATTTAAACTTGACAATAGCGATACGCAAACGTAGGAAGAAACATTGCAAAAATTTTGACTCTTATTTTTTTCTTTTCTTCTGTTAAATTCTACAAAAATTTATTCTAAAGAAGCGTCATAAAATTTTGAAGAAGACATGCGTTATAAGCCTTTGAAATTTTACGATTCGTAACACCTAACATTTCGCTAAATTTGACCTCTCGCATATTCCTCTTTAAATTTTATAATTTATAAAAATTTTATAATTTTCACTTATCTTAAATTATCTTAAAGATTTAACTTTTCAAGGAACTACCTTCACGTTTATTGACCCGAAATAACCTTGCAAGTTTTGTTATAAAATTCCCTAGGTAGCCACCCAGAACTTCAATCTAAAGTTATTCATCGCTTATTTATCAGATGTTAATAAAACTCCTTATCGGGGCTTTAGAGAGAGTTTCAATTGAAAATTCATTCCCAATTAGGTTCCCGACCGCGAGTAATTTCATTTCAACAACGATTCTCCCACTAATCCTCCCAGAAATATCAACTCAATGATATCTCGCGGAATACCAAGAACGACATTCTATGAACCAAGTAGTTCTTTCTTTTTCTCTCGACGTGGAATCAAGGCAAAAAGAATAAGCAGAGGAAATCCGTGGAAATTCTCCTTCGATCGGACGAGGAAATTTCGTGTTGATTTTATAGCCACAGCGGACGATAACTCGATTAAATCGGCCACGCCGAATGAAAATATCCGGCGAAATCGTAGCGAATTAATCGTGATTTTTCCTCTGCATAATTGTTCGCAGAATTTCTCCGCGGCGAATTAGTTAGGGTAGGATAGTGAAAGGGGAAGGACGAGCGAGATAGAAATGGAATATTTTCTCGGCGCGCGGGAAATGACGTCATTGAAAACTCGTGGGCGTTCTGTTGGAGCGGCGTGTAACTTCATGCTCGTACGATAAAGCGTACGGTTTAAAATTTATTTTTGCTTTTCCACCTCTCACATCGCACATCCTCCCGTGGCAATTTTTATGAACAACATCTTTCCCCGACGATCGACACTAAATTTACTTGCCATTTTTTTTCTTTTTCTTTTTCTTTTTATACCTAACGATCACCATCTTCTTCTTCTTCTTCTTCTTCTTCTTCTTCTTATTTGATCGAACGTCGTTCGGGATAATAATAAGGTAATATTTTTTTTTTATCAACGATATAGGTTTTGCCATGTATACAGTATATTTTTGTTATTTCGACTGATAGATTAATGGGAGAAACTTGAGGATTGTTAAGAATCCTAGAGAAAAGAAATTCGTCGTAAAATTGTTATAGAGAAGGGAATTTAGAATGTGATTGTGAAACAGGTCGAATTTAACGGGATGTTATAAAATCGTGAAGTTTCAAGATCAAAATATTATTTCAATTCCTTGGATTAATGGGACAATTTCATGACGAATACGAGCTACATGTTTTATTTTAAAAGTTGCGATACCTTTTTCTCAAGTTTAAACGAATAGTTGAACTTCACCAAATAGGAGAAACAGTTCGAGTTTTTGGTGTTTCGCTGGATAACATTGCGTGCCGGTGAGCTAAATTTAAATCCGCTAGCTAAGCAAAATGGTGCAATTTGAGGGGATAATTAAAATCTTTAAGGTGCAGCCTTGAAACTCGATATCACAGCGAGATACAGAGAGGAAGCACGAGGTACGAATTTTCACGCTTTCGACACTAGAAATCGTTCACCTCGAAAATTTCAAAATATAATAATATAATAATTTGTGAAATTCGATGAGATGTTTCCAAATTTCACATTACCAAATTTATTGATATTTTGCGAACAGAATGATCGAGACAATTCCGAAAAAGGGGAGGAAAAATAATTACAATAAATTTCACTTGGAGCATAAAGAATGGCATGCTGTTATCTCTATAGTCAGGATTTAAAGGTTAAAGTATAATAAAGCACTCTAGGCTCTTTCATTTATCTCTCGTCCTGCTCTTCGTCGTTCAAACAGATGCACTCAACCTTAACAGGCTATTCTACAGCCTTTTAACCCTTTTCCCTGTTTCGTCGCGATTTTCATAAAAAGAATATTAAACATCAATACGCGGTATCTACCCGATTATTCGATTACGATTCAATCGATAACGATCTTCTCGAACATGGCGCCTCGCCTCGAAGTTTTGCTCGTTGTTCCGCTTAATTACTCCGTTGCGAAGGTATTTCAAGAATCGTATTTCTAATTGAGTGGATTCACTTCTGCGCAACGCGCACGAGAACAATGTTTGCCTTCGCGTAACTCCGTAACACAAAGGAGAGTTCTCTCACAAAAGAGAAGCCTTCGAAGTTGAGCCTCGCGTACAGCAAATTTGTAACTAGCAGGCGCAACATTAAATAAACTATCTTCTAAATAACGAAATACATTGTGGAACGAGCACAACTGGAGTACACTGTTCAAAGCAGCGTCACGACGAAAGGAATTTTTCACAAACGGAACGCTTCTAAGATACAAGAGTCACTGTCATCTCGTTCCAAATGAAAGATAAATATTAAATCGGCAAACCTGAAAAGGGAAAGATAAAGTGACGGAAAAAAGATTATCAAGGTCACCGAAACAAAAGAATATAAGAACGTAAAAGATAAACCTTCAATTTTCGTAATTAATCTACCCACTTTGGTGAATTAATTCTTAATCTCTCTTTTGAAAAGGAAGATTCTAATTTTTGTTTCTTTGATACGCTCATCCGGAATGATCCGATAAACTTAACAACGTAAACTGTAAACGTGTGACGAAGCTGATTATTGATTGAGGTCTTTTTTTTCCAATGTTTTCGAAGGTTAATTCTTTGCACGTGGTGGTTGGGTCACTGCTGTTGGGTGCAGTGGTGTTGGTGGTAGGCCTGGTGCAGCTCGCACCTGGGGCAGAAGCTGCACAAAACTCGACCGCCCTTATTGTCGTCGGATGTAGCCTGCTGGTGATTGGTGTGTTCCTCGCGCCCCTCAGAGCTTTGTGCATCAAGAAACAAAAGGCTGCTCAGAAGGACGGAACGCATCAAAGAAGTGTCACCAGCATAGACATGCTCTTGGCTCAACACAGGTGGGTACATATATCATGTTTCGTAATTAAAACAGCACGGATGACAAGGCGGTTATTACGATCGGCTTGTTAAGTTATTTCTGGGATTTTTATTACCTGTCTTTCGCACTGGACAGATAATCGATCAGTGGGAAACACGGGTGCAGTTTATTGACTGTTACTCAATTTGTGGATAATAAATTTGAATAGAATTCCATACAAATTTTAATATCCTTGGTATGGCAGATTTGAGATTTAGTTTAGTAGAGTTTAACGCTGCTTTAACAAACAAATAAACAAAAGAACGATCCACGAAAAGAATATCCGACGCAGATGGAAATTTTAAGATCGCTGCTATAGAGAATGCGATAGTTTGTTAGGCAATGAAGTCTGTTCGAGGAAAATGATATGCATCAGTAACACGGGCGAAATTTTCTCGCAAACAGGGACTTCACGGTGCTGACGCCGGATGAACTGGAGGACCTCGTCGGCCGACCAACCTCCGCCCTGGAGAATAAAATCCGCAAGCAGGGCCACAATACCTAGGTGTTGTCGGCCTCGAGGAAGGCCCATTCATCGTCACCACCGTGCTCGAACACACCATCGTCATCGACGTCGCCAGGAACTAGCTCATCCATTCTCTACACGCATCGTTACGACTCTCGTGAACACAGTCTGGTTTAAGCAAGAAACGAAACGTAAAAAAAGAAAAGAAGCGAAAAAACAGAAGTGGCAGAAGAAAAGACGAGAAAAAGACAAGGGGAAAAAGAAAAACTGGCGTGCTTGACTTCTTTTTTTAGACAGAATCGATGTTTCGACTATTGTGCACGCAGCGAACAGCTGTTTCTTTCTACGAAGGTTGCGCACGCCTGCCTTTAGCTTGCGGTAAATATCTTGCGGTAAATATCTTAAACCCAAAGGCGATCGAGTGAAATGTCACGGATACAAGAACGGGTTACGGTATTCTCTTTCAGTTGATAAGCACCTCGCGATAGACTCTCGCCTACAAAAGTCAGTATGTATGTGGTACGTCCGTGTTCTATCCGATTGATTGTCGCTTCGTGAACATTGGACAATTGCTCCGGGTACAATGATATGCATGAGAAATCGCTGAAAAATCGACCTGTGAATCGAAGAAAATTCGATGACAATGATTAAGGAAGATATCGACTAGAAATCTCTCGTACGTGCGAAAGAAACTATGAAAGGAAAGTGATAACGATGACGAAGGTAATCAATTGGACTGACGATCTCTTTCCCGATCGTGAACGTTCTCTTCGCAAAACGATTGGACGAATCAGAATCGTTTGCAACGAGTCGCGTTAACGAATAGTGCAGGAATACCATCGTTCAATTCGCACAAAATGATGCAAAAAAAAAAAAAAAAAAAAACATTGAAGCAAAAAGGGACCTAATTACCGGCTGCCTTCCTTTGATCATCGTTTAAAACTCTCTCGATTCGCTTGTAGAGGATACTTACGATTAGTTTCTTAAGCACATTGCGGACGTTCTTTTCGTTTCAGAGCAATAGCTTCCTTGCTCGCGTATGAATTCCTCTGCGAATATTTTTAATAGGAGTAGAGTCGTGCAACGTATTTTTAAGTATAGTTAATCTCCCGTGATCGTTCGTTGGCTCGCCAAAGAAGAAAAGGAAAGAACATCGTCCAGAACTGCGAAAACAAAACCCAATGCACGCGAATTACGTTTTAGCCTTTGCACCACTTATCGCTTGATAAGGGCTTGAGAGTAGCGTTTCGAACGCGACGAGATCGACTTGTGCGCGTGAAACTTTCGTCTCACTCGTTCAAGAGCGTAGACAACGAAACTGGTCGTTCTTCGAACGAACAGAATGGAACGTGTTCGTCGTCGAAGAACCTAGTTTGTTGCTCGTTCACAAAGATCTTCGACTGAAAAGGGAAAGATCGGATTGCGAATTAAGCGGATGATTAATCGAGTTGTAAAGAAAAAAAAAAAAAAAATGACCCAAAGGCTGCTTCATGGCTAACGATCACTGAAAGTTTTCGATTGTTCGAGACATCGTTTACCACAAGAGACCAAAAAAAAAAAAAAAAAAAGTAATTTCGTTCGAGACTTCATTGTGTTCAAATCGCCAAGATACAAGTCTGACTCTCAAGTATGTTAACCCTTTAAACGTTATTACGTCTAAAAAAAAAAAAGAGAGAAAAAAAAACGTAAAATAAAAATTTAGATTCACCGATCGAGCATCGTGCCGCGGACAAAAATGAGGAAATCGTACAATTGTAAAGTTTTTTGTATGAAAATTTAGAAACGATTGTGACACGTTGATTGCTTCGTTACAACTGTTCACTTCGCGCGACGAAAGAGAACGGAAAATTGGGGAGCGGGGGAAAAAAGGAACGAAAGAGGACAAGTAAGTGAATTTTCACACGCGTCGATGGCGTGCGATGCTTAGAACTTAGCGATTTGGAAACGATCAAATCGAATCGCGTAAGTAGCTTGGAGCGGCCTTGTTACAAGTCAACAGACACCCTGCAGATACTCGCAGAATATTTTTAGCCGGGCCCAAGTGCCCGTTCACTTGCCAGTAATACATTAAGTAAATAAACTCTCACATTAGTAAGTATCTATCACCGCATGATTATACTTGCACATATCTTCGAGTATATTAAGTAGTAGCTGTAAACGAATTTGGAAGACTATGGATAAATGTGAAGAGAGAGAGAGAGGGGGAGGGAGAATATTTTACACAAAACAGTGTGACGAGAGTCGATATCTTGAAGGAGGAACTTCTTAACTGAAGAAAAAAAATCATATCGAATTAATAATCCACGTGATTCTCGAATCAACTTACGGACGAGTTAGATCTTTTGATATTTCGTTTCCATCATTGTTTAGATAATAACGACGACGTACCTAGCATTTACCCTAGCACAGTTTCTTTGACATTCATCTACTCCACCAAAGCCATATGCATATGTACGTAGACATGCACCAAGTGAAGAAGGGAACGACAGTTACTTTCAGATTTCGAGTTCCTGCTAAATTATCACTACAATATCTTGTCAATACTGTCTGTGTTCGATGAGAAGAATGATCAATTCGAACGAGGGAAGCGAGAACAAAAATGAGAAGACCCATTGGTCTCGCTGATTGTTAGAAAAAGAAAAAAAAAAAAAAGAAAAAAGGAAGAAAAGAAGAGATGACTCACTGAGACGAGACACCTCACTCGAGACACTTCGCGAACGTTAGCTAATAAGCTAGTGAATTTTACGAGCGATATATTTCATAAAATATTTTTATGGTCGACGAAAATACGACGGGAGGGTTTAAAGGAACAAAGTGAGGAGAAAGGTTTGCGATATATATATATATATATACATACATATATAGATATACGTATACATGTGTCTTTTAAATCAGCAATTCATTTCGCGAACGTTTGTCGGACAGATATGTACGACAATTGTGTACTGTGTACTTGAACCATATCAGGACTGTTACGTATTTCATTGGGTCAGCACGTTTCGTTGAATTCTCGCGATGCACGTTTTCTATATGGTTTTCAGCATCGTTCGTGCGATATCAAACCAGAGAAGGGTTTCATGGGTGTTTTCAAGATTTCTCATCGCGCAACGATATATCGTAACGTCGCATCATAATAATCGTGGAATGACAGAAACGAATGTGACGCGGTCCATTTAGCTAATGTGGCCGTTCGAATGAGATCGTGGAACACAATTGATGATAATATTCCGTTCCACGAAAAGTAACCGTAGAAAAATTCGTGGTTTTCATCGATCGTTCAAAGACGATTCGAAGGCGATTCGATCGAAGTGAGGCCACGAGCGCTGAAACATACCGGAAGACGAATATTAATAAATTATGTGCTTCATATTACGAAACATAAATCGATGTTTAGGCTTAGTCCATAGGCGTTAAGGCTGCTCGTTCGTGTGTTAAAGAGAGGGTGGAATGAATGACATTCTCGATGGAAGATTAAAAGATATTGTGGAATTTAGAGGTAATTTGTTCGAGAGAAAGAGAGAGAGAAAGAGAGAGAGAGAGAGAAACGATCGTACCGAATCCAGAAAGGCTGTTAGGATCATATTACATTTTCTATTTCACGTGTAATATAAATGACAATTCGTCCTAGGATTCGATTCGCGTTACGCGCCCAGATTATGATAGATGATCGTGTTGTAGCAAATAATTCGTACAATTCGTGAAGCATTAGATTCGTGTAATTTTAATATTGAAGTGTTGATAATAATCTTCCTACATTGGCCACTTAATTCAATAGAATGATAGTAATACAGTACAAGATTAAAGTTAGTGTTAAATCAAAAGACCTTTAATGAAAAAAATAAATTTCTATTTTTCCGCAAGCCACAATAAACTTTAACAACTTAAAATCTAATGTCTTTGTAAAAGTAATTCACGTCCAATGAAATCTATATTGTTGTCATACGTATCTTAACGTCTTACCACACGTTACTAAAATTGCAATGGAATTTTAGAAAAAAATACCATTTCCTTAATTTCGTAAGTTATGGCTTTATTCTCTATCGCATATAATTGAATCAAGTAACTGAAAATGTCTACAATACGCGGTTTCCTTTAACGATAATTACTTCATATTTGATTCGATCGATAACTACCTTTGTCTGGGCGTATAGAACGAATCCGGCGACACGATCATCGTGACAAATTTATCACTCGAAATTTTTACCAATTTTCTCATCGATGGTTAATGAATAACGACGCGTACGATGTTATTTTCTAAAGCAAAAGAAAAAAGAAAAAAAAAAAAAAAGACGACGAATACAGACTATAGTGAACGTTTAAATAGCGTTTACATCATCATTTATTGGGATTGGAAATGAATACAGCTGGATTGATCGTGGAAACGTTATTAAAGGATCACGATCGGTTTCGTTTTCAATGATCGCTAGTAATCATAACGATAATGACGTAAGATTAAACGATAACACTATGTAATTAATGTAAGTTACCATAAGTAAGGAAACATAGAACATGGATAGACGAGGTAGCATTCATTTTCGAATAATTCTCGAGCAACAAATTCACGCCTGCAAGTTTTTCCTTTTCGTTCACGGGCAATGGACGCCTAGTTTTTCGAAAATCAAATCCTTCTTGATCCTTCTCGATTGAAACGAACGAACGCTGAACAAATTACGTCAACGCTCTGTCATAACGAATGAAGAAGCACGAAGAGAAGCAGTTCGATAATGTGAATTAACGTGTTGCAGATTAATTTAGTTACGTAAAAATATCCACTTCGTTTTACGATTATAATACTATCAGCGTTTCGTTCCACCAATTATTGGGATCAACGAAGGTGGCGCGTTCACATTCTTTTATTTTCTGCAACGAGCAATGAATTTCAAAGGAAACATATCTATCGAGCAAGCGCGATACGTAGATAACTATTTTTTCATTGCCATTAGTATATACAGCAGAATGAAGTAAAAAAAAAAAAGAAGAAAAAAAAGGAAAAAAAAGAAGAAGAAAAAGGGAAAGAGCGATTGAAACGACGCTAGACACGCCGCTACTGAACATTCGTTTATTATCAAACGACATCCCATTTTCGCTGAGATTTCCTTCTACAGTGAGAGACGTTTGCCTTAATTTGTAAGATGTCCGCTTCCTTTACATATATAAATACATATATCTTAGAAAGAGTTAGCAAAAACGTATAGTTTCGACGAGAAGGGGGATAAATATGAATACGTTTCTAGGCGAGCAAGCAATTATTTTCGAGAACGTGAAGTAATTTGTAACAGATAAAGAGGCAGAGGGAAAGGAAAATAGGGCGGCGGAAATATTTTCGGGAGAAACGAAAAAATTTGGATTCTCTGTTCGTTTGCGAGTTTATTTCGCGTCGCGTGTAGAACGCGAACATTCTCGATGCTGAAATTGTAGTTCCTTATCGTTTCGGACTGGAAAATTAGTTCCCTTCTTATCTGACGTTTCATTAATCAGTGTCGTCGATATCCCGAGACATTGTATTTCTCCCTAAAATATTGCTCCCATAAGTAGTACTTAATATGAAGCGAATCTGGGTAAGGTGCAACAAGGAAAAGTTTCAAAATTTTCAAACCGAAAACGAGGGAAGGTACATAATCGTCCTAAGTTTGCAATGATTGTAAACGCATCGTTCATTCAAGATTGAGTCATTTTCATTTCATAAATAGATCGACTACCACGTTCTTTAATGAATTCGAAGCTACTCTGATTTATCATAAATTCGAAATCGAAATTGCAATCCTAACTCTCGTAATAAGTGATAAAAATTACGTATATGATTTTTACGGTAGAGGTTCATCATATTCAGTTGTATAGAATAATTAATAACGAGGGTAAAACAGATTTCTTGTTGCATGTTGATATCCAGTTTAATATTAAGTCATTCAACGCACATATTTAGCTGTAAGAATTTTTATAATGGTGCTCTATGAGATCGTCTCTGCCGTCGAATGCTGATATCATCACACAAATTTGTCTCCTTTCAATATCAAGAATTTTCATTTTGTCGCTTATTGAAGTTAAAAAGAAAAAAAGAGAACGAGAGAGAGAAAGAGAGAGAGAGAGAGAAAGAAATCGAAAGCATATTGCGTGTACATCTTCGGCTTATCCCATGGAACTTATTCCACGGTACACGCGCTGAGTACTTTTTATTGTAAATATTAGAATACTTAACGAAAGGACATTGAATGGTGATAAAAAAAGACAGGGATAGAATGAGTTTATCAATGCGCAATGATGATTCTTTTGTTGGTCATCGGGAACGTTTGATGACAGTAAAAATACTTTATTATCGTTATTATATCCTTATTATATATAAATAGCCGTTTAATGACCAATTGGGACGTCACGATGAAATTCTTAAGGCGAATTTTAATTCAAATTACTGATGGACGGTTTTTAATCCGTGTCTGATAAAAAAAAAAAAAAAGAAGAAGAAACAGTTGCTATCGAGAGTGACTTAAATTTCATAAGAAATTTTAGGTCCGATCGTACAATTGTTTTCTGTAATTCTTGGAATGAATGATTGAGGGAAAGGAAGTAACTATTACATTACGTTTAAGTTGAAGTTAAAGGTCGATTTGACAACATTGTATTAATTTTACCGATTTGTGAGGCTCAGTTGAAGTTAGTTAACCGCTCATTCATACAACACGTGGTTAAACATAACCACGTGATCCATTATCAGATACGAATTAACGAGGCGCTATAATGTCACACAGGAATTTAAGAAAAACGGCTTAATGCAAGGAAAATTTTGTAACGGCACGAAATACACTATCGTATTGCCGATTAGTACACGTAATCGAGAAAGTTTTATCGATAAGCTTAAAACTAGAGGTATCACAATAACGTTTACGGAATACATAATGATAAAACGTTCACGATGGCGTAATTTTTCATCGTTATGTCCGTCATAAATTCGCATTCAACGTTGTCTCCATTGGTATACATACATATATGTATATATATCATTTTATAATCACAAACCTCAAAGCACAAAATGATTCCAAAGTTACATCAATTTTTCGTTTTGTTATTAATAAGTTTCTTCTCCATTCAGTAACATAGTTAAATGTTTATGATTAATCAAGGTGGCTCTCAAGAACCAACTGGGATAAAGCAAACTTTTCGTACGAGAAGTTTAGTCTGTTTTATCACTGCCAGAGAGTATTTGAAAAATAACGTAGACCTCTTAAAGAAAATGTATGATTAAGAGTATAAACATAAATCGATCAGTTTCGTCGCTCCTCGCATAGTGGAATGATTTAATATAGTTTGTTTAGTGTACGTATGCTTGGGACGAGGCTCTGATTTCTTTTTAAAAGACAAAATGAAAAAAGTGGATTATTGCACCAATTACGGATAACGGAAAAACGGAAGAGTAGAAAAGAAAAGAAAGTAAAATCAACCAGATATCGATGTTCCCTTTCGCCATCGTAAACGTATTAAAACTGCTAGTAATGGCTATTATACATTAAAAATATTTTATCTGGAATATTATTACCTTGCCGCTTGAAAGTTGTGTTGATCTGTATATTTTGTAAGCAAAGATTATCGATAGCAATTAATAAAGATATTATTACGACAGAAAATATGGTTCTAATTGTCATAAAATGGAGAAATATTCACAGATACATACCTACGTTTAAAATTAAAACAAAATAGTGGTCATTACTTAATTGTACGAAACATTGTCTATTGGAAACAAAAGAATTTATTATACATACATATATATATATAATATTTCTTAATTAACTGTAGAAATAATTATATATAATTAATAATAAATTTTATTAAAGATCAATGTTTCATCAAACCTAATTAACAAACCCGTAATCACTAAAAATAATATATTTTATTTACTATTTTGTTCTTTCCGATGTAAACAGTATATAGTGTATGCATTACGCACAAAACCGTATAGGCTTTGTTTCCATGATCTTAAAATAAATTGTTCAATATAATATATTCTACATAAAAATTTATACGTATTTATACACGAATATACTATTAACAATATTAACCGATAAGTTAACTAAGCTAATTCATATTCTGATATTAAAAAGTATATGTATTCTCGATGATTTTCGATTTCAATATGCACTGTAACTGCAAATACCAGAGAGATTTAAAATCGGAAATAAATAAAGTATCAAAAGCTTACTTTGTTTCTGCTCAATTTCATCGGTTCAGCGTGTCAATAATTATCGATAAAACTACACTAACAAATTTCACTTCTGTCGGACGCAATTAAATCTAAACAATTGGGAGAAACAGTCAGAAGTTTCAAAAGAACAGTAAAATGTGTGAAGTTACACACGTAACGTTACGCGCGAATATAATCCACGCGTCGTGGAAACTAGGCTTTAGATATCCGGCACTCCCGATAGGATCGCAGAACCCAACGGAAAAAGTTTAATGGCTGCCAATGTAATTGCAAATGGCTGACAGAATGAGAGAGGATGGGTCTTGATTTCGCATAGACGGGATTAATATTTCTAAAAAATGTCGTGCATCGTTTACACGCGTTAGCTTGAACGGTGTTTCTCGTTGAAATTATTGTCACAATTATACGTGAATTAAACGCAAGCGTGGTAAGTGTGACAAAGTACGCGGGAAAAAAATGACTCGTGGCCGGAGACACGCGCCCTCAGTTAAACTCATCCGGTAACCGTCTCGAGGCACGTAAGCGCGTGGAATTTCGAATTAATCGATAGCATTGTGATTATACGTGACCGCGGTCGGAAAATATCGTTTATAATGTGAAATGTGTTACGATACCGTCTACGAGAAATATTTACGTAAGGTATAACGTGTATAATCATCAGGAAAAGGTAAACAATGAATCTGTTGGCGCGGTATCTATTGCACGCCGCGTGCTTTTAGTGTACTTTGTTAAAGACGTCGCGTAATTATTAAGAAAAATTCCGCGTAATTTCGCCTGTTCTCTCGCTGCTTTGAGTAATTCATATGTCATTGCTTAAATCTATCGTGAATGAATAGTGATATCGTAAATGAATTAATAGTGAAATTAACCCTTCTAAATCTTAGCATGTATGGCTGCATGCATTCATAGTCGGTACATATCTTAAGTGTGGGAAAAAGATACGTCGCGTAAAATTTATTTGTCTTTAACACGCTCTGTCTGAATCATCTGTCAATTGTATTATTTTGCAATATATTATAAAAAAGAAAATTTTTTTTTGATATTTATGTGTTATATTGACAATTCTAACAAAAAAGAAATTTTAATTTATTTATTGATAAAGTTAACGTGTGAAACCGGTTTGAAGCACTTATTTACATAAGATATTATTTCTGATTTACATTGAAATTAAATATTCTCAAATATTGTAGAAAACAATGATAAATGTTAATACTATGTTTGTTTATTAATATTTTTTAATCTTAATGGTAAAACAATGTATTACAAAGTATTGTAAACAATGGTCTGTATGTTGTTTAATATATTTATTTTATTTTTATATATTGTTTACATAGGAGCATCAAAGGTTTTTACTATAAAATAAAGTCAAGTAAAAATGCCTGCTGTGAGCATTTGTGATCCGGTTGCGGCTACACTCCGCCGTACTTTGGAGACCAACCAGACCAAAACACCAGATGACCTGTCAGCGAATTTAGTTACCAATGCATCAAGAATTCTTCAGTCAGAAATTCAATATAAAGAAGTTGATGACTATCAGACAACAATTTTGGATCAACTGAAAGCAAAGTACATCGTATTAAGTTTACCAAATTCCGAGAGCTCTGATGACAAGATGAAAGATGGAGCAAATTATACGAAAAAGAATGAAAGGGCATTTAAAGGACCCAGTCTACCAGAACCAACTGTTACTTTATACTCTCCAAAGAAAGTTAGCCTAGGATGGAAAGGTACATTTCCAGTTGGCGCTGGCATGTATAATGTTGGAAATACATGCTACTTAAACAGCACTCTTCAAGCTTTGTTTCATGTGCCAGCACTTGTAAATTGGTTATTGTCAGACTCTCATCATGCATCAAAATGTGAACAAAATGGTACGTTGTTAAAATTTCTATTATATTTTACCATATTTTGTGCAAATTTTTTAAAAAATGAGATTATAATTCCATAGTTTTGTATCATATTGTGATAATAGGTTAATTTTAGATGGAAGTGGAGAATGCTTAACATGTGCAGTGGCTAAGACTTTGCAATCTAGTCACCAAAAATCAGGATGTGCTATTAAACCATTTTACATATATAACAAATTGAAACGTAAGTATTAAATATTACTGAATTGTCATTAAATTTTATGTCTGTTATACATGTTTTGATTTTTTTATTAGTCATTTGTCGAACCATGGTGCCAGGACAGCAAGAAGATGCTCATGAATTTTTACGTTATTTATTAGAAGGCATGGAAAAAGCTTATTTGACAAGACACAAAGCTAGCAAACTAGACAGTTACTCTAAGGAAACAACACCTATTAACCAAATTTTTGGTGGTTATATTCGTACTGAAGTAAAGTGCCTACAGTGTCGGCATGTTTCCACTACTTTTCAACACTTTCAAGTATATATAATATAGAATTTCTTTTTTTAATAATCGTGTCTTTAATACAATCAATTAAATATATATTTAAATTTCTGTAGGACTTATTAGTTGATATACGTAAAGCAAGTACTCTGGATGAAGCATTAAGTAGCTATTTTAGTCGCGAACAACTAGATAACAATGATTACAAATGTGAAGCTTGCAAAAGAAGAGTTCCTGCTACAAAACAATTTAGCTTAGAACGGCCCCCGAAAGTGCTTTGTGTACAATTAAAAAGATTCAGCGTTCTAGGAGGAAAAATATCTAAACACATAGGTTTCAAACAAACTATAGATATGGGCCCTTACCTCTGGAAAGAACCAGGAGAACCTACGCAATCACTTACATACAAACTTATGTCAATAGTTACACATATGGGTCCATCAGTTAATTGCGGGCATTATACTGCTGTTGCGAAGGTTTCAACAGGCCAATACTATTCCTTTGATGACTCTTGTGTATGTATTAATAGGATTTTTTTATTCATAAAATATCAAATTATTTCGTTGATATAAAAAGTTTTTTTTATATACAGGTTCGTCCACTTAGTTTGAGTAATGTATTTAATACAAATGCTTACATAATGATTTTCGAAATGGAACAACAAACACAATCTCAAATTCATGCTCAACAGACTGTTAAATTAAATGGTACAGTGACTATAAACAATACATTATCTTCAGGAAGCAGTATGAATAAAACTATAACTCCCAAGGCATCGACATCTGGATTATTTTCATTAAATGGATTAGCTAATGGCACATCAGCTAATAAAGATAACACAGGCAATTCAGAAATAAATTTACAAATATCGACAAATAAAAATTCAGGACTTCAATTTACTACTCAAAAGACTACAAATTTTATTGGACCACAATTACCACAAAAATTACAAGATAAATCTCAACCAAGATTAGTTATGCATATTAAAAATGGAAAAATTTTGAATGGGAATAGTTTAGTTCCCTATGATGGATCCAGTGAAGAAGAGGATGTTAATTCTATTGAAACATTAAAAAATCATACAAATTTAAATACTTCCACAAAAACAAACACTTCTACTAATGCTACTAATGGTACACAGAAATGTTCCTCAGTAAAAACTTTCCCTAAAGTAATACTTAATTCTAAAGAAGTGCAAAAGTGTGCATCAAAGACAAATGGCAGTAATGCGTCTCAGAATCAAAGTACACAATGTATAAAAACACAAAATGGCTCTAGCTGTAGTACCATTACAAGTACAATAAAGTATCAAAATGGTAAATCAGAAACAAACGGAAAGGCAGAGAATGGTAATAATAATAGTAAAAATAAATGGCATCAGCCTGTTAGAAAAGCGGGACAAGAGGACAAAGTGATTACAAAAGTTACAAGCAGCAGTATGAAAGGTTGGCAAGTTTCAAAGGATACATCATTTTCTGCCACATCAGCTGCAACATCAAATGGCTGGTCTGTGACTGATAAGTAAGTTACATTTTATTTTTATTACATTTAATATTTAATGAATAATTTATAACAAAATTTAATGTTTTATATAAATATAAAATAATATGATATTCACGTAAAATTTAATATGTGTGTATATATGTGCACATCTTATATATATATGATAAATGCGTAAATATTACTACATTTTTTGGCTTGCAATTTTTTTCAAATTGTATGAAAAGACGGATTAACTCGTGATCAATCAACAATATGTTAATTTATATTTCTTACTATTCATAGGGAAGATATTCATAAAATTGGTCAAAATAATATGACACCCAGTGCTGCAGCTTTAAGAGACTTCAATGGAACAAATCGTTCCGATACTGTTTCCCACTTATTAAAGATGTCTCATCGTGGTTATGGCAATTCTTCGGGTCAGTACAACAAAAGAATTCTATTGAAGAATCCATTGAAACCAGCTCGTTTTCCTTCAAAACCCTCATCAACCTATTCTGCGCCCATACGTCCTAAGTCAAAAAATCCTACATAAAGCAATAGAACAATCATACAAGAAATTCTTGTTTGCTCAAATGTTTTGAAATAAAAAATCATGTCGGTAATCTTAACAAAAAAAAAAGATATTTTTAAATTTATAAACTTTTAAACGATAAATTATAAATGTAAGATAACAACATATCGAAATGTTGTTAATCGTGAAATTGAAAATATTTGATTTGTTTACATTTCTATTAAATCAGTAATAATAAGAAGATATATTTTGTGATTTATTGAAAAAAAATTGTTAAGTGTTAAAGTAACACTATTAAATGACGAAAATGTTAAAAACTGTGTAAAAATAGTTTTATTTTAAAGATTTATCGATAAAATAATATCACTTTCTTATTAAATAAATTATATTATAAATGTATGCTTGTTTGTTTACAGTTACAAATTGGAATGGTAATAGAACACATTTAGATAGAGAAGTTGACAATGATAGAAGAGAAGAGCGTAAGCGACATTTCAATGCAGATGATGAAGAAATAGACCGTGGTCGAGTAAAAAAAGTAAAAGATCATCGAACGTATGAAGAAAGAAATAACTCAGGGTATAATCCTTTCCAAGAATATCAAAATGGTAAAACGTGGAACCGATCTCTCGGTGGTTATTACCGGAGACATTACTATAATACTTCTAACAATGTACGACCGCGACATGGTAGAAATTATAGACCTCCACATTACAGATATCATAATCATTCTCGTGCACATTGGCAACGAGAATAAAATAAAAATAAATGTTGTTGGGAAAAATTTTCGAAAGCAATCCGATGTTGAAAGACTTCGTTAGTTTTCAATTGCTAAAAATTATAATTTTTCAATATGTTAAAATTAAAATACAGATGTGGCAGTGCTGATTTAGATAATTAATGTTGGAGGTTCAACATTTATTGTAATGAATCGTTAAACTGCGTTGTAACAACCTTGCATGTTCCTGATAGAGTCTTCATGTACTCTACTGTTGCTTGTAGCTCATATGTGTCTATGAACATAGTACACGGGGGATGAGTATCAGCAGCTCTGCCAATCTTGTGTTCAGTATGAACGGAACAAATTTGTTTATACCATATGATATGTGCATTAATTTAGAGTGCATATTAAACGTATGTATGGATGCAATTTTTAAGAGTTTAAACAGTAATTCACATATGATAACGTTTAAGCTGATGTTTTTATTGCTTTAGTTATGATTATAAAATTATGTTCTTCTTTAATTTAAAATAACATTCATATTACGTAACAGTATAAAAATCTCCAATAAATATTTCGTGTTAATCTTATGTTACTTATATTAAATTAAAACTGTAAACGTAATATTCCACGTATATCTATATTCGACAGATATTTCACTGTTTATAGAAGTGTCCATACATTTTCAAATAGAAATAGAATGCATGTTGTTTACTATAAAAATAAATTGGTTTTAACAGTGCAAAGATAAAATTAAGTAAAAGGAGATGTTCTGAAAATTTCATGAAAATATTTTTCATTTACAATATAATAATCCGTCCTTTATTTTAATTGATAAAGATACTCCTCCCTCATCGAGCTATAACAAAAAAATTTAATTGAACATCTTGCTCGATCAAAAAACATGGTCTTCGTCATCGCTTACTGAAGAAAAGTATATTCGTAACAATTAATTAATCATTGATTAATCAGTAAGTGAATGATTTATTTAAACGCGCGACTTCATTTTTCTTTTTTTACCATAATACATACTTTATTATTCCAGAGCGATTGTGGTACTTGTGAATAATCGAATGAAGAGTATTTCATGGTAATGGATTAATAGTATCAACTTACTGAAATATTAGTTTAAAAGGAGAAAAAACTGTAAATTATATAAATGTAGAATTTTAATATTATGGACTTTTCATAGAGCATTAAAAATTGCAAAGCCATAGATAATTTGTTAAGCCAATGATAAAAAAAAAACAGCTGGCTTTTCGCCTGCTCGTTATATATAATACCTCGTTATATTATTCTACAAATTAAATACTAGCCAAAAGGAAAAAAAGAAACAACCATGTACTAAGATCTGGTGATTATTATAAATTTTATAGTACTCTATATTTTTCAGAAGATACATGACTTGAATATACGTGCTAAACTCGTATCTTTATGCAAAATATTAGTCGCAATTGAATAATCATGTTAGCTTAATATTACGGTGAATATAATGTAATTACCGTAATATAGCCTTAAGTTAAGTATGATATATCCGTTGAAATATAATGATAGTTTTTGCATTGTACATTTTACAAATTCATGTATCATTTGAAGAATAAAATTCAGAGTTCTGTAAAATCGGTACATCTGATAGTGTAAACGTATGTGATATCACTCCGTACAATGGTGAACAACAGCAAACGCCAGATTGAATTTATATATTAAGTATCACGAATGAAACGGAAATTGTCGTTTGTACAATATTCGAACTATCGATACAAACAGAGTGAAAGAGACGATAAATCCATAGAAACCAATTCATTTATATCGTACAGAAAAGGAAAAGACTATCGCGTTTTTAAGCGGAGATACTGTAATCTGTAGACGCACGTAATCTATTTTTATTTTTATCTTGTATTCTTATAATTTGTAAGAAGGTAATTCTTTATATTTCTTCATTTACTTCATCCGTTTTGAAATGGAGTTTTTGATGAAAAAGGAAGATCCTTCATCCAATGAGCTCATAAGAACTGTCGAAAGAAATGTGAGTAAACAATTTGGCCCTTTCATGCTTGAAATATATGTATTTATATTAATTATCATTAGTTTTTATTTAAATTATTAGTAAGAAATTGTTTAAAAATTCGCGCATGTAATATATTAATTTCAAAGATGTACTTTTAATTGCTTAGCATGAAAGAGTTGAATGATAAAAAGAGTTAACAACTTTAATTAGTGAGTATTAAAAAAAAATGGAAAAGTGCATTACTGTTTACTTGAGAAACTAATTTAAAAAATGTAAATAAAGATGAGCAACACAAAACAATTGACATTTATTTAGGTAGCGATTTTAAGAATAGAAAGTCATTATAATTTAAAAATCAATTATGAATTGGATGTTAAGCTCACATGGTTCCATAATATATCACGTAGTCTTACGGACAAACTTGATTCTTTATGGAAATTGGCTGAAACGCATCAGCCAACGGAAAATGAAATAAAACAATTTGCTGATCAAATTGCAAGTTCATGGACCTCTATCAATCGTCAGGTAATATTTATTTACACCCTTAAAATATATTTTTTTGATTTCTTAAATTTCTTCACTTCTTATTTATTCAATTTTAATTTTATATTATTATTATAAAATCAAATATTTCATTACTATACATATAGATTTACGAAAAATATTCTAAAATACGAATGGCTAGTCGAACATTACACGGAGTACCATTATCAATAGTTCTCGATAGAATAAAGAAGGAAATTATTCTATTCAAAGTATCATTGCAATTTTATGAATCTACTTATGATCAAGAATATGTATTAAAAGGATACAAACTAATTACTGAAAGTGAAGAACTTATAAGCAGCTTAGAAAAATGTGATAGCAAGGTAAAAACTTGCTTAATATTTTGTTAATATAAATATTAATATTAATATGAATTATTTTTTTAAATTGCAGTTGCAACAATACTTATCCATATCAAATATTACGCCCCATCTCATAAAGTTAGAATCTGCAATTGACAAATATGTTACGAACGTTGAGGTGCTTTCTACAAAAAATTCGTTTGTACCTGATTTAAGTATTTTTTCATTAGTTGCGAAATTATTAACTGGTGATTTACTCGGTTATGAATCTATCGATCCTAATTATATTTTAATGGAAAATATGCCCAAAAAACCAGTTTTTATTATCAAGAATATTAAACGTAAAACAATTTACTCGTATCATTCAACATAAAATATATGTATTTATACTATGTAACTTACATACTCTTAAATTTGAAATATTATTTAAAGTTTTTAAAATAAATGCTGTATCTAAGATAATCCACATAATTATTAACAACAAATAATGAATTTATTTAATCATTATCTTTATTTACTTAATGAGTGATATTTGGCAACGTGCTGCACATTGGGCAAATGGAATTTACATCAATAAAAGTATACAAGTCCTTATCAATACTATACACAATATAGCTATATTAATTTACAATATACAAACATACATACAATATTTGAATTCTGCCAAGCAGATGATTTAAATACCGGAGTTCAAGAAATAATGAAAAATATGAATGGCTTCATATTTTTGTATATGTAAAAGGAAGCTTTGATAAAACCAATTATAATTCAATTTTTCATATGAAATATAATAATAGAACAATATAATGTTCATGGAATGAAGAATAAGAGATCCAATATAATGTACATGTATAACACACAAAAGTCATTTTTTACTCATAGACTGTTATACACTGATGGTGAGTGTGATAACAAATTTTGATATTCAAAGACTAGATTAAAAAATACCCTCAAGATCCGGTAAGGAAGTAGGTGGTGCAAGTCTTAAAGAAAGATCTTTATTACGCATAAATTCCGGTGGTAGAATTTGTTTATGTTCCTACAAAACAATGAATTTAAATTTTAATGTGGCACTACGAATATCTTTATATATACATATATTTTAAATATCAAAATATTACTTACATGGAATGATTTAGTAGTATGTGTGATATTAGTAACAATAGGTGCCCACCCCTTAGACTTTAAACATTTATAACAAGATTTAGGTTCTCCTAAACATTCTGAATGAAAACTATGCCCACAACTAAAAACTACTATATATTCTGTGCATTGTGATAACAAATGTCTACATATTGGGCAAATCACCGATACACTTGCACAAGCTCTCCCCGCGTCCCTGAGAGATAAAAATGTTAAATAATCAATAGACTTGTTAAAATTACTTGTGATTATTTATACCTAAGTGATTTTTTCAGTGCCTTATGAAGCTCCAAGCTGACCAAACGAGCAGTAGTTTCAACTAAAGTTTGTTCGTATCGGGAATGTGTAAGTACTCCAGATAACAATTGTCTTATATCACCTATAGTTCCACTTGTTGCCAGTGGATGTTTTAATATTTGCTCTAATACGGTCGACAGTGCCGTTGTTCCACTAAGAAATTCTAACGCAATCCTCAATAATTTTCCACTTAATTTTTCAACTGTAATTTATAAAATTGTTTAATTAAAAGATATATGCAATTTGTTATCACGTTACATCACATATATTATACCTTTTTCATCATTACTATTTGAATGTGTTTGAAGTATAGTTTCCACGAGTGGCATCCAATCTAAATTTCCCGCAGATCGTCTGCATATTCCTGCTAATTGTATTGCACTGTGAATAGATGCATTTTCTGATACTTTGTTCCGACAATACTAAAAATAAATATTGTTAAAATAGAAAGTAATGATTAACATTGCTACATTATTCTCATACAATATACCAGTTCCAAATTATTTTGAAATTCTTTCAAAAGAATATCAAAGGCATCTTGATAATTTCCCAACTTTTCTAACATTACTGCTTCAGCATCTCTGTGATTCGCCTTTTGAACTATTTGCAATGCTTGATTCAGTCTACAACCATGAAATCCTTGAATATGTTCAACAACCTAAATTTCAAAGATAATCGGAAAATTAATAAGTGGCATATTTCAATATCCTGATATATAGGATTTTACTAACATGGTCTGGTTGTAATTCACACATTAATTCCAAATATTTTTCTAACATTTCAGTCGTAAGTTCTAACGTGATATCTTCTTCTTTATATTGTACTATTTGATATAAAGCTTCTAGTAAAGTATACTGTAAGGTTGGAGTATTTTCTAGTATTTGTAAAATTTCAGAAACTTTAGTTTGTAAATGTGTTGCTATCAGTATAGCAAATTGATTTGCATTGATGCCTACTAGAGCTTCAGCATTTGCCATTACGACTAATTGCAACGAATTTGGAGAAAGATGTTTTAACCAGACCCAAATATCATGATGTCTAGATGGATGCAGTATCATGCATTTACAAACAGCGATCCAATCTTCTCTGGCGCTGTATAGCAATTCCGCAACACGCATACTGTAACATTACATGCTGCGATACAAGTTACTATGTATGATGCTATTAGTATAAATAATGCTATATAATTTCTTGAAATGTAATATTAAAAAGTATATTTTTTTTATTACAGATATATTCATAAAATATGATACATAATTAAAATTAAATAATGGTACATGTCCAGTATTTTATATCTTATATAAGTATGCATATACTCACAAATTAGCTCTTTCTGCCAAATTAAGTAAAGTATTATCTGATATATTGCGTAATTTTTTTGAGCGCAGTAATCCCAGTATCGCATTTTCTTTATCAGTCTTAAGCTCGTGTGATGATCCCATATTTGAGTCAGTACATAATATTTCTATCATTTTATTTAACATACTAGGTTCTAAATTAACAATATTTTCTGCAACTTCGTTAGCTATAAATATAAGAACTAAATTTCTTTGTTCGTCAGTAATATAATCAGGATTTCTCGGGCTTAATGGCGTGCTGGGCATAACGATATTTAATAATATATCTATAAGCCTTTGCCGTTGTCTAAGACCCATCTCAGACGTGAATTCTGGCTCCTGGAAGGCAATTGCTATCACGTCGAGAAACCCTTTCGCGTCAAACTGTAGCAAAGTTCTTAGATATGGATATTGCCTTTCCGTATCATTAGCCAAACTCGAATGCTGTGAAAGCAATGCTCTTAATACATCTGTTTTTGCTCTTTGAGACATACCCTCTGGAAGTTCATCTCTGGGAAAACCACGACCGGCAAGACAGCAACTAGCATAGACCAAAAGTGCATTGCCAAGTTGTATACTATCTCGAGTTAGTGAATCCTTCGAATTCGTTAACATACTTTGCAATATCGGTACTAATTGATGAATTGAAGCAGTAAAGTCACCTAATGCCGTGGTTTGAAGATGTATTAAAGCTTCCCAGAGACCTCGTTGCCGACAAAGTGTCGTTACCTGTGACAAATAAATGCTTTTAAACTTAAGTTTCATAAATTAAATTAAAAAAGTAATCTATGAAAATCAAGAATGTAAATATTTTTACTTACTTGATGAATATCTAAACAATCAACATCTAATAACACTATAATTGCTTGAAGCGAATCTACTTTGTCTTCTTGGTCATAAAGAGTAACTAACTGTTGAGCAATTAATGGTGGTAATCGCGGTCGTAAACTTCCGTCCAACAAAGGACTTTCAAGGGCATGTAAATAACTCGCTTTTAATCCCTCAGACTCCGAAACTAAATCCCATAATTTGCCAAATAATAAATCTGTATTTTCTAGTTGTATACAATAATCTACACAAGTTGTGACTATCTCAAATTCTGCATTTTCGTCTGCAACACAATGATTCAATTCTTCCATATATTGAATCAAAACTTGACATACTTTATCGCGAGCTATTTGTTTACGACGTTGTTTGGAACCACGAAGACCAACAACTGCTTTTCCTTTATCTTGATAAAAAGAAAGTCCTAAAGCTAATGCTTCTGGATATCTTCTCTGAAATAATAAAAAATGTAATGAAGTAAAAAATTGTATAACTTTAATTATACAGACCTGCATTGTCAAGTGTCGCAATCGCTCTGTCCATGTCCGTATACAAACAACATGTAAGCTTTTGGTACCTAGTAACAAAAGTTGAGTACCAAACGTTACCACAGTATTGTAACATGCTCTTTCACCAGCTAACGCCATTGCCTATGATTTTACAAATCAAAACGATGTGATTATATTTTAAATTTAATAATTAATTGGTATGATTTGATTGATTAATACCTTCGAAACATTTCCACCAGTGGACAGACCTTTAAAATGGCTAGATGCATAGGAAATACCAACGCGACTCATATCTAAAGTTTCCAAATTATCCTGTGCTCTTACATCTAATAAATGTAATCTTTCTTGAGTATCTAATACTGCTAATGATCTTGGATTTAGCCATCGTAAGTTACTTATTGTATATGGGAGAGTCATTCTTCTCAAAGGAGATAATTTTACTCTTGAACCAGCTTCAGTACATACCTAGGTAAAAAATTTTATCAATGTACTATATTTTGTCATTTATTAACAACTGCTTAATATATAAAATTATATTATATAAGTTTTATACTTGATAAAAATGAACCACATCGTCTCTTGCAAGAGCCAAAACAGGATCAATTACACGAGAAGCATCTGCTGCTTGTATGACAACAAGCTGCCAAGATAATTGTGGTGGTGCTATAGGTGCACCAGATAAAGGATGAGTTAATACAACACGCATTCGTGGTCTTATGCAAACTACTATTACCTAGAAAATTCAAAGAATATGAAATTATTTGCACATGTTACAAATTTTTGAACTCTTTAATAAGAGACAAAAAAAAACCTTTGATAATGTTGCCATTGCCACTAAAGTATAATTTTTTAGAGCGTGTGACGGCAGATGATTCAATAACAAAGGTTCTAATGTACACACTTCACCTCTAGATCCACTAAATAAACACCTGCTATCACAGCCTCTCACACCCATAACTCTTGTAAAATTTAGTTCAAAAACGGATCCACCACTGTCACTACATAATGCTACCTTTGGTGAATCTGTGAACTATGTAGAAATACATTATTTTTTTTTTATTAATAAGTAGAATTATGATAATTATATATCAAGTACTGAGTAATATAAGTTATTCTTACTTTTACATGTAATACAGCTGTATCAAGAGGATGAACATCAGTAAGTGTCCTTAATACTTTTCCATTAGAGCTATCTAACATTAATATATGTCCTCTAGCAAATCCAGCTAATATTCTGCTTCCATCATAATTAAAACATAATGCAGATACAGATCCTTGGTGTCTTGCTTCCTGATCGCACCATCTTAATGTCTGTGAAGAATCAAAACCTAATACCAGACCATGACTAGTTCCAACAACTAACATATTTCCTCCAGCAGCAACTGCACTTGCTAAACCAGCATTGACCTTTTCCTATATAAAAGAAGAATTAAAACTAATATACTATACTCAAACCTATAATTATAAGTTATTTTCAAAGAAAATATTTAGCCTTACACTAGCTGATACAATTTGTGATGATATTCCTTTTAATATAACATGCCTCAAAATAGCACCAGAAGATGTTGGTTGTGAAGCTTTATTTGATTTGTTTAAAGAGTTTAAGGATAAATGACTTCCAACACTTGTTGTTTCACTGCTTCCTAATTTTTCACCTGATGTTAAACCAAAGTCATCATCTGTCCCAGATAATGATGTACAGTCAGGTTCTGTTAATATACTTTCCAAAGAAGGTAATTCTTCAACAGCTGGTATAGCATATTCTGTGTTATCCAACTAAAATTATGAAATATAATTTTAATCTTAGCAATCTTACCTGCAGAGTATGATAATTTAAGTGGTAATATAATTAAATTTGCTAAATTGAAGTATATTGAGAATTTAGACAAAAATAAAATTAAAAAAAGAGTATGTAACGTGACTTCACTATCAATCATATAAAGTCTAATAAAATAATTATATCTTGCGAGTTATAATCATGATAAAATAGTAATAGAGCAAATAAGTTATGAGAACATAACCTGAAAATTAAAAATTTTCTACTGGACCTGAACATTTTTACAATGAATATAATTAATTACCTCTTCGATATCTAAATTAATAACCTCGCTTGCGAGGTATTCTTGAGATCCAGCATCCGATCCCAACCCATTTTCAGCCATTTTTTATCTCACCTGTCATTCCACAGCTGATACACGTAAATATAACGGCCCCTCATTAAGCTATAGATGATACACAATGGTAGACTTCATGTATACAGGGTGTTGCGTATAACGCGACGCACGATTTTTCACCCACTTATAGCAATCTGACAAAAAAAAAGTTTAGAACAAAAGTTGAACGGTACAGGGTGTACAGTAGGTGTTAATAAAAAAAATTTCGAAAACTGTTTGTTTTCATAGCTAAATCAAGGTCTCTTTGGATTAAACAAATAGGAACACAATTTTTTTTCCATCGTATTGTGAATAATATCTTTATTAACATGTTACTCCATTTACAGTAGTGGAAATCGTTGATTCAGAAGGTTGTTTTCCTTGCGGAAATCTAGCTTTGTACACTTTAGTAGTTTCTCGAGAATTTTTCTTGCATTCACCAAAAAGAATACATTGTTGCAAGCGATTACTTTGCACCAAATATTGGAAACATGAAACGAAGAAACTGCAATGACAAACTACAAATAAATTCTAGCCCTATATTTATATTCAGTAATCTGAATTCTTAATCTCTATGTTTACACTGTCTTAGAATCAAATACGACGAGAAGCTAAACGTTTCACATTTCCATTACTGTAAATGGAGTAGCATGTTAATAAAAATATCATGTAATATGTGTTTTGTATTCATCCCGATGTTCTCTACAACATGGTGGAAAAAAAAATTGTGTTCCTATTTGTTTACTCCAAAGTGATCTTGATTTAGCTATGAAAACAAAGTTTTCGAAATTTTTTTATTGACACCTACTATACACTCTGTACCGTTCAACTTTTGTTCTAAACTTTTTTTCGTCAGATGGCTGTAAGTGGGTGAAAAATCATGCGTCGCGTTACAGGTAACACCCTGTATATGTTTGTCTTTGTCGCACGCTGTTGCTCTCCTTGTCTATCGCGCATATATATCTGTCCTTGTAGCACGCTGTTGCTCTCCTTGTCTAACGCGCCTATATGTCTGTCATTGTCACACACTGTTGCTCTCCTTGTCTATCGCGCATGTATGTATGCTTGTCTAATGACGCTAGACAAGGAAAGCAATAGTGTGTGACAAGGATATCTTTCGATCTATTGAAAAAAAAATTCAACTTTTTAAACATACGATTTTCTAGGACAAAACATACATGAAATGAAAGCGGGGAGCTTAATTTTAAGGAAGCATATAAAAAAGTTCGCAAATTATACCTTTTAATTAGGTTTTTTTTCATAATTAGTGCGAACTGTCACAAAATGGACATGGTGGCGCCATCTAGCGGTAGCTCAATGGTACTAATTATTTATAAATACTTATTTCTGCATTTTACGGGTCAAATGAAGTATGAAAAGAAAGCTAAAGGTCTAATTAGGGTAATACAATCACAAAAGTTCACAATTCATTTCGCTAAATTAGGTTTTTTCGCAAATGAAAATTTCTCTGTTTTACGGAGTGTAGTGATTATAATTTACACTTATATCACAATACTACAAATAAATAATAACTCCGTAATTAATTTTAGTTGTTTATATAAAAATATTATCAATATCACAAAATATATAATTACTAATAATTTAATGAAGATTACATAATGGAAGTTAAATGACGAATGAAAGTTAAATAACGAATGAAGAATTTCTACTATGGCTACAATATATATAAGTGTCAAACATTTCCATGGTGATAATAAAATTAATAGCTATTTTTAAATATTCTATTGTTTATATTATATACACATCTCGACGGAACGATTTAATGAACATAGATGTCGTTGATCTAAATTCTTCGAAGTAGAGGTCGCTACAGGGTAACAAACACTCACAACGCGCCGCGTTGTGGCAGATCGGTGGAACTAAACGCTCTATAACCATATAAGGAGAATAATTAATTTTAATTTTTCACACCACAAATTTGCATTCCACGAGCATATATTTCAAAGATAATGCTATCAATTACGTTTGCAAATAAATCTCAATCAAATATTCACTATAGTTTCCGAGAAATTATGCGCACACTACTGGCATTACTACTAACGTAAACGAAATTGAAACTTTCTTTATATACGTAAACTATACTTAAACAAAACATAGAACGCAAGCTAAAGGTCACTAAAATTGAAGACGCAACCATAACAGTCCACAAATGATTCTTCTTAATTAATATCGTTTCGTAATTTGTGGAAAAACTGTCACCTCTCAATGTTGCGAGGCAACGGTGGCGCCATCTATTGATAACTCGGTGGTACTAAATACAGATTTTCCTACTTTTAGTGTGTATTTAATATAAACAATAGAATATTTAAAAATTGTAAGTAATTTTATTATCACCATGGAAATATTTACAGACACTTATATATATTATAACCATAGTAGAAATTATTCATTCGTTATTTAACTTCCATTATGTAATCTTCATTAAATTATTAGTAATTATATATTTTGTTATATTAATAATATTTTTATATAAACAACTAAAATTAATTACGGAGTTATTATTTATTTGTAGTATTGTGATATAAATTTAAATTATCTTAATCACTACATGGTCTCTGATTATAATGCCACCATACGACTGTAATAACCACTAACTTTGAAGAAATAACTTCGGGAGTTATACAACTCTAATTCGTGATAGCTATGGCGTACGCAGTGGGTTTTTGATACATGACGTCTGGTTGTCTGTATGTTATACTTGCACATTGTATCTGCATTGCGAATGTATATATCTGTATATATCAAGAAAACTGAAAAATTACCATTACGCTATACGAAATAAAAGTTCATAAGTAATTACAGACATTAGTTAGAAGCTGATACGTTGACAATCAGTTTGTGCGTTGTATTGGGCAATACCATTTTTTTTTGTCTGTCTCCTGTCAAAAGTTTTAACCAAAATCCTCTGCGCGATTACCCGAAGTGCCCGTCTGTGGACCGAGGAAATCGTCAAAATTGTATATATCTCTGAGAAAATATGCCAGATAGTGGTGCTGTTTATCAACCTACGACAGTAGGTTACACATACGATAGCGGAGGTGACGGTACTGGAGGTAGTAACAATTTAAGAGGTTGTTTCTGGAGAATTATATCAAGACATAAACTTAGCTCTAGAAACTGGCTTGAATGGATATTAGTCTCAGCTGTTTTGTCGTTTATCATTGCTGGTATAACAATGATAACCACTGATCCATCACGAGAAACTAAAATAAATATTACACAAAAGGTATCTAATAGCTTTTATTTCAATCTATGATACTTTACGTATGAATATTTTAATCCTTTAAAGATGACAACAGCATGACGTGTTCAAACGAAATCACGGCCGTGCCTTGTATACAAAATATAAAAATGCATGTATATATAACCTTACTTTAATTAGGAAGTATCTTGTTGATTTAGTACTAAATGGATGACAGTAACTTTTATTTTTTGTCGAAGTATTATCATTAGTTATCATGCCTATTGTACCTATTATATCTATGCAAAATATATTTATAAAAGTTCATAAAACCTATTTTCATGCTTCTAAAATAAATTATTTTATCAGTTAATTTCTTAGTTATATACATTACATAATATATGACACTAAATTCAAAAATAATTGTGCACATAAAGGTAGACGAGGATCCAACTATGTCGCAAAGCGATGAAGAACATACTAAATATACTACAAAACATTCCATGCCACCAGGTATTTTCCTGATATTAACAGGGCTAGTGTTGGGCTTAATTTGGGCTTGGCTTCATTTCTTCCATCGCGCTAAATCTACAAGAGGTGGAATGGTCTTAAGCAGTGGTCAGGTAGGCATAATTTTTTTTTTTTGTAGATTTATATTTTGAGTTTTATTTTATTTACCGGAAGCCATCCATGCGTGTTTTGGCTCGTATGTTCGTTTCTTTATCTTATATATGCGTTGCTATGAGGAAAGATGTTGGGCGGTTTGAATCCATCAACTGACTTCCTGGTGGGTTCCACTTCGCAGTACGGACCTGTACTAACGGAGCTGCCGAATCAACTAACGATGAAGTTGGAACAGACAAGTCCTCATGATACTCCAGCGATACCACTTTCTGATCAAGAAGAAGAAACCCGTACCTTAATGCAGGATTCTACAATTCCCACGGTAGTCTCCATTGGCCCTAATACCATTGCTAATCAGAAAGGTTAATTGCATCGATGTGTAGTAAGAACACACGATGTGAACATTCTTTTAATTTTATGTGAACAAACCTGAATCGCGATTTTTGCCATTTTCGTGAATTATGTGATTTTTTACAAATAGAAGAACTATTCTTTTTTAATATTTTATTAGAATTCCTTTGCCTGATTTTGAAATGTAAACAGTTTTATTTCTGTAAATTATCGGCACAAGTTAATAGCGTAAGGTATCGTTTATTTTATTTTCTTTAAATTTTATTTTTTAGATTATATCTATGCATTCCTCCACTCCGTCCATTATCATTGGTAATTTGTTAAATAAGCATTGAATCCAGATATATTACAGATAATAAATTTTAGAAAAATTTGTTTATGATATAAGATATTTTTCAAAACAATATTCACATTATTGTTTAAATAGCATGTTTAATAGTAGTAACTACATTGGTTGTCTTTATATGATAGTAATTTATATTAGCACATTATTGGTCTGAAATGACCAGTTACGAATGCATGTATAAATAAATGATATTTTGTATTACTCTGCCCAGTTTAATATAATGGCAGCATTAAGTGTCACCGACAATATTTGTAACAAACTATTTGCTCATCTGAAGAAAAATGAGCTTTAACATATGGTGGTATTAGCAAAATAAAGGGATGTGTATATATTAGAATAAAGTACATAAATTATAATAGAAGGCAATCTCATCCCTTCAAATTAAATTGGAATGTTTGTGATATGACGTAGTGAAGGCGATACACTGCACAATTTTTGTTATATTACTTTATCATTTTTGTACTTATGTTCTTTACAGTTAGTATTTCTAATTACATACAACTTAATATATACTAATTGCATACATTTTTATAATATAAATATTTTGATACTTTGATGAAATTTTGGACCTGTTTTACTGATTTTACATCTATTGAGACTGGGTAATATTATTCATATATTGTATAAAGTATAAAATATAAGGTAATCTGTGGTTAAGCTGTTCTTATTATCAGCTACAAATTTTAAATGATCTTTATTTATATATTATTTTACGTGATGTTAAAATTGGATTTACAACAAAAAAGAACAATTTTTATTATGCATTAAAAGTATATTTGATAAACAATGTCATCTCAGCATTTTTCATGCACTTTTTATAGATAAGTTTCATTTAAAACAAAATTGTTGAGTTATTTTATTTGTTAATAACACTTTATGAATGTGAATATTTAAAAGAAAGAAATTAAATAAATATCAGTCTGGATTCAATGCATAGAATGAATATGCATTAACAATATTATTTTAATGATTTATGTGAAAATCATACTATTAGTTAATGATTTATTCATTCATTTATGTAAGTATTCTTATTAAATAAGGAAAATAAATAATTGAAAAATTATGTATAGCCTTATTAGACCATTATTATTCCATTTTTTCTTGGCATGTACAACTTTTTGAAAATAAAATGTTGACTTCAATTTACAACATATTATTTTCATATATTCAAAATATAGCGGTTTTATCAAAGTATTTGATTTAATGTAGTTAGTTAATATACATAATTAATTGCTTAATTATATATGTATATTATATGCGTATTCATGCTTATAGATTGCCAATTTTTTGTATTGTCACGCATGCGCAGAAATTTAAATTATTAGTTCAAACTGTAAACGCGAAAGGTTATGTTATCTTCGAATTACATTGTCGGTCGCCGACATGATATTCTTTTTATATCAAGCAAAGTATTGACATGTACGTTATTACAAAATTACCTTTATAAGATGAATAAAAAGTTAAAGTTTGATGACCTTACAACACCAAGATCCTTACGATCAGGAAATAAGACTGACATTAAAGATATTTCTACAACATCAAAGTATTTCAATAATAAAGATACTTCGCCAAAAATAGTTGCAAAGAAAAAGCGTGCACCCGTAAAAATAGAGTATGATGAAACAAAGAATCCAACAAACTCTGAAAGTACGAAAATTAAAGTTGAAGATTTAGAACATGGAATCGCGAAAAAACAACGTAAATCGGTGAAAGTAAAATGTGAAGAAATGAAGGATATAATTGATTCAAAAAATAAGGAAGCTCAAGATATCGATCCACAGAATGGGACTGCGAAGATAGAGATAAACAAAGAAAACAAATGGATGCCACCGAATTGGGAAACTGTTTTAGAAAATGTTAAGGAAATGAGAAAACACAAAACAGCACCTGTAGATGAAATGGGTTGTCACAAATGTACGGATCCAAAAGCCACTGCCAAAATTACTAGGTATCAATCATTGATTGCATTGATGCTCAGTAGTCAGACTAAGGACCAAGTTACTCATGCTGCTATGCAAAGATTAATTACTTATGGTTGTGCTCCAGAGCTAATAGTAGGTACACCTGATGATACTCTTGGAAAACTTATATATCCAGTTGGATTTTGGAAGGTATAAATTATGTTCCAGTAATTAATATAAGATATATCAAGATATTGTAAAATCACTAAAAAAAGGTTTCTTTCTTTTCTTTTGTTAAATAATATAATATAATATAATATAAGATATATCAAAATAATGTAAAATCACTTAAAAATAGTTTTTTTCTTTTCTTTTGTCTTTCCTGAAAAGATAAAGAATTATTTAAACAGTATGTCAAATTAGAATAAAAGTTTTACTTTTCAGAGAAAAGTAGAATATATTAAGAAAACGTCAAAAATTTTAATTGAAAAATATGATGGTGATATTCCTAGAACTTTGAAAGAATTATGTCAGTTACCAGGTGTGGGACCAAAAATGGGACATTTATGCATGCAAATAGCATGGGGTGAAGTTTCTGGCATTGGAGTAGACACACATGTACATCGTATTTGTAATAGATTGGGATGGGTGAAAAAGCTAACTAAAACACCGGAAGACACAAGAATTGCAGTGGAAGAATGGCTCCCAAAAAATCTATGGAGCCAGGTAAACTATTTACTCGTTGGATTTGGACAAGAAATCTGTTTGCCAAGATTTCCTAAATGTGATGAATGCTTAAATAAAAATATATGTCCATCAAGTACAAAGGGTGGTACGAAAAAAAAGACATAATATTATAAAAGTATTTATTACATACTGTATTTATTTAGAATATTTAAGAAAGAAACTTTAAAATAATTTAATGACCTGACTTTTTTTTTAATTTTCCGCTACGTTTCTTAGCTTTTTCAACTCTTCGACGTTTTCTTATACTTTCTTTCTTACTCTTTTGACGTTCCATTTTTTGTTTCTGTTGAAATGCTTTACTCTTTTTCACTTGTTTCAGTGCAGCTCTCTTCATTACTTTCTTTAAATCTTTTCTATTTTCAATTTGCTTTTCTTTTGAATTTTCTTTTAAATTTGTAGGCTGTTTATTTTCATTTAAAGCCATTCCTACAATTTCTTCATCATTTTTGGAATTCCCATCACTTTCTTCTTCCTCATCACTTTTCACTTCATTAATATCTTTATTTTCACCAATTAAAGTATTCTTTTCTGCCAGATCTGCAGTATTTAATTCTAAAATGCTAATAGTATGTCCTTCTGTTTCATATTCTTGTTGAGATAATAACTGTTGAATTTCAGGAATATCGCGATTTGATAGCAACTTTTTATAACGTTCCCGCGTCTGTAAAAAGTAATATTTTATTATTGCATCACATAAAATTAATATTATACATATATAAATACTTTCCTCGTGCTTAATTCTTTTCCGTTCTTCTTTTAATTGTTGTTGCAGTTCTTCCTTAGCTTTTTGTTTTCTTTGTAATTTTCTTTTTCGAAATCCTGTCAGAAATTCTCTGTATTTGAAAGTATAAAATTTATATATGATTTGTAAGTTATTTAATCCGTAATTCAAATTGATATAATTACCGCCTCTTGTTTTCATCAAATACAAGAGTAATCTTTTTGCGTTTCTTCGGTTGACTAGGTGTTCTATTTACATTGAGTAACTGTGGTTGCATTTTTATATGTGGCGCCATGAATATAGATTATTTACAGGTTAGGTAATTTACGTTGTACAATATTTTAGTTTTTTCAAAGGATAAAAAATATTATAAATAATTACTATAAATAGTAATTATGGTAGTATATATTAAAAAAGCAGGTTTCCTTTAATTCAACGTTTTATTCGAAAGAATTATCAGGTGAACATTCGTAGATCTAAACAGTCTCGCGTGACTCCGTAATACACATAGGAGATACATACTAAAAAACAAATGTAATATATGTATAAAGTAATGGTTTTTAAAGCATTATCGTATACATTGGTTACTTAGTTCATAAAAATGTCAGAAATATTAAAATTTTGAAAGATAAAACGTGCATTGCAAATATAAGATATACTGTGTAGTGAAAAGCAAAAAAGTTGCCTCTAAATTAGTGATAGTTTAAAACAAATAATTTATATTTTATTTTGTCAATATTCTTACAATAAAAATGGAAGAAAATTGTTTGAATTTTTATTCTCAGCAGAGAAAAATATACACCAAATGGAATTTAGTGTTTAAAGTTTTTTTTACATTTATCAATGGCATTTGGGATAATCGTAGTGTGACTATCGTTTGTTTTCACTCATTTGACGCATTATTAAAGTATAACCTGTTAAGATAAAGTATTACTATGAAGATGATCAACAGACAAGTTGAAGTGTCCGACAGAACGCTGCATAACACTATTATTCAGGTTATAATTTAACCCTTTGACTGCAGTTTGTGCCTAAAGGCACTTTGTACTTGTGGGCGCTGTAGTAAAGCGTATACTGTAGGTGCTTATAGGTGCACGGAAAATTTTATGGACCATAATTCCAACAAATCTCATTTGAATCAGACGTATGTGAATGACTTATTTAACAATTACATATTTCGTTAATCATATATTATTTAAATATATTTATTTTACAGTTATTTTTTTATATCCTTAAAATGAAAAATTGTAATAATAAAATGATCAGAAAAAATACAGACAAATATGACACAACAGATGATTCAGATTCATGTTCTGATTCAGAAGCTACAGTAAAGGAAACAAAAAATAAATTATCCTGGATACAGAGAGATTTTCAACCTGTAATTCACGAATTTGATGACAAGAATAGTGGAATCAAAGCAAGTGTAAACAAGCAATCATCTATTCTCGATATTTTTCAAATATTCTTTTCAGAAGAACTTGTAGAATTCATTGTCGAACAAAGTAACAAATATTATGAAAATGGTACAAAAGACGATGTAACTACTGCTCCCGAAATGTATAATTTTTTGGCAGTTACCATGTTAGTGGCACGAATGCATAAGACATCTTTATCAGAATATTGGAGTAAGGATAAGCTGACAAAAACAGAGTTGTTTGAAGAAATAATATCAAGAGATCGATATACATTATTACTAAAAATCCTGCATTTTTGTGATAACAACATTGAAAATTATGATCCAATTATGAAAATACACCATATTCTTGAAAAATTAAAAACATCCTTTAAAACTGCATTTTATCCATATGAAAAATTATGTATAGATGATAGTTTGTTATTGTTCAAAGGAAGATGTTATTTCAAACAATATATACTGACAAAGAAAAGCAAGTTTGGGATCAAATCCTTTGTCTTGTGTGATAGCAAGACAGGCTATATTCAAGATTTAATTGTATATTCCAAGGCAGATATGATAATGTCTGAAGATATACGATCAAAATCAATAGGAAAGTCTGGACAGATAATAATGACACTTCTTGAACCATATCTTGGAAAAGGTCACACACTCGTGACTGATGATTGGTACAGCAGTCCCAGTTTATTCCTAGAGTTACATAAAAACTTAACCAATGCATATGGAATGGTAAAAAAAGACAGGTTGGATATACCGGAATTGAATAAAAAAATAAAGAAAGGAGAATACGTATTTCGTTCAACAAAAAATGTATTAGCGTTGAAATGGATAGATGAAAAGGAAGTGTGGATGATTTCCACCTATCATTGTCTCAATACCCCAACAGAAGAAAAAATAATTAAACCACAATGTATAATTGATTATAATAATACAATGAGGGTGGTTGACAAAGTTGACCAGATTTTATGTACTCTGAATTCTACCTGTAAAAGTTTAAAATGGTACAAGAAATTCTTTTTTCATGTATTTGATTTGGCTGTGTATAATACATTTATTTTATATAACTATGTAACTGAAACAAACTTATCTTTTAGTAAATTTCATTTATATTTAATAAAACAAATTTTACTAAAATACAACTCAGGTAAAAGTACTGGTAATCAATTCGTTTGATGCAAAGGCATTTTCTCCATACATAAACAATGCAGCAATTCGGAAAAACGCAAGGCGCAAATGTGTAGTGTGTAGAAAACATGACAGAAAAAGTGAGACACATTACAAATGCGAGAAATGTGATGTAAGATTATGTATTTATTTATGTTCCGAATTGTACCGCACTTTGCTAGATTATTAGATTGTTAGAAAAAGCTTAGTGTTAATGTTAAATATTTGACGAACGTTTAGTGCGAATAAATAAATAATATTGGTTTAATATAGTAGAATATTTTAATATACTTTCTCAGGAATGCACGCCAAATGAAAAATTTCGCTGTTCTCGATGTAGTTCGCGACTGAATTTCTATCGTATGGTGCGGCTGGTATGTCTCGAAGGCTGCTGTAGTCGAAGGAATATAATTGTATTAACAATTCTCTACAGCTTTGAAATAAGATTCGTAAATGGTTCTAAAGTCCATAATCGTTAAAACGCTTTAAATACCATCGTATCATTTCGTGTCGCGTCTTGTACGCAATTGTGTTGATTGCATACAAAACACTCGAGCAAACATAGGATCGGCTTCGGCGAAACCCTCGTACGAAATGTCTAATTGCGCATGCGTAAGAAATCCCTTTCATGAAAGGAATCCCTCAATCTAGTAAAACTTAGCAGCATCGGAGAGAACATGTGTGAAGAAGAACTGTGAACGTGCTGTGTTGGCTTTGCCGCTAGTAGGTGGAAAGCGTTAGTTATTTACGGCGAGAATGTATCGGGTGTAAGTGATTGGTTCCTTTCACGAGGAGATCCGTTGGTAGGCGGGTAGTCACAGGGCGGGGGCTCTATTGATTTAAATTTGGTTTGCCGGTGCGCGTGTCAATAGTCAACACAGTGCCGCGAAGAGCGCGCGCTCAGGCATCTACTCTTTGCTGATCGTGTTCTGCGGATCGAAAGGTTAGGCCCTTCGCGGCGCAGTCAATAAAGACATGTCGACTAATGCGAAAAACGACACGAACGAGGATCCGGAGAATTTGAATGGGCCGATTCGTTTCCAGAGTGTCGTGCCGAAGGAAAGGTCAGTCTTGCACCGGCAATTTCTGATTTATGTCATAATTCATAGAAACTTCAATGTGGATGCTAAGCGACGGTATCGCGATAAAGTGTCGTTCGCGAGAGCGTGATTCGTGTTAAATTACTTACAGCCACGCCTCGGACTCGAACTACTAGCTGACTCATCGGCAGATGTTGCGAACCTAAAGCACCCCTTATATTATTTGAGCTTGAAAGAGAAAAGAAATCGATCGATAATATTTTTTTTCTATTTTGATGACAATCGCGATCGTTCTCCCGAATATTGCGATTCGTTCGTGTGACAAACGGCGAAAACATTCTAACGATTCGTTTCTTTCTGTTGTTTTTGCTATTTACCTGAAATTTTTTTCCGATAAGAATTCCGATTTATTTACCGGGTGTTTACTGTCTGAGGCTAATGCTATTTCTACCGATTGGTTGCTGGATCAGTCACGTGGTGCGAGAAACGCGCGCGCCAAGGGTGTACAAATACGCCTTTCCACTCTGTTTTATCTTTTTCAAGATAAAAATTCAAATGGTAACGATATATGTCAAGTAATCGTATCTTCTTGGATTTTTAAAGGCAAAAGGTGCTCAAGTGGAATGGTTGGGGATATAAAGACTCGGAATTTCGTATAAATCAAAAGTACACCATCGAGTTCACTGGAGACAAGTAAGTTTTTTTTATCAGTATTTAAATCTCTTTTTTATTAGTATTCTAGGAGATAATAAATATTTATTCAAAAATAAATATACTGGCTTTATACATAAAAAAAATTGCATAAAAAAATTATTTGCATATATTTTAACGTTAATGTAATAACTAAATATATATATATAATAAATTAGTGAATAAATAAATATATATTTATTTATATATATTTATCTGTTATTTAATTCGTTAATTTATTATTTTAATTTCATTGCGTAATAATTCGCTTTTTACATATATTTCATTTTTTATTATCAAAATGGAATGATAATATCTTCTTACTATACTTTTTTATTCGTTACGTGTTTCTTTTTAATTAACTTCAATCTTCTTTCTGCGATTCATTTTTTTTAATTAACTTCAATCTTTTTTCTGCGATTCATTTTAGAATAACTTAATTTTTATTTGCACATAAAGAAAGAATAATTTTATTGCTATTGCTAAAGATTATATTCCATAATTAGGAACACTTAGGCTTACATGAACTAATAGTTATGCTTATCACATAAGCTGATTAAGCTACTTAACATCGTTAGATAGGAATAGAAAATTAGAATTTCAACGTAAATATAAAAGAATTAAGTACTTTAATTTGCTTAAATACACCTCTTCTTTCATATGCTTAAACACACTTTTCTATTTAATTCTTACATAGATAATTGATATTTCAACGAATTTCTGTTGCAAACAATTTTAAAACCAATACGTAGTTTGCAAATGACCTCGATTTTATTTTGTAAATTTTATATTCTACAATTGTATTCAACAATGGAATACATATAATTGATATTATTGTTTGATTCATTTAAACGTAAGATTATCGTGAAATAAATATGATATGTATTGTTTAGGTTGAAAAGGAAAGAACAAAAATATATGGAAAATATAATCGTTTAAAGCATGTTGCTTTTATAATTCATTCTTATTTCACTCATAAAATTGATGACTTAAAAGAAACCAGATCATTTTAACAGAAAACTACTTTTATTACTAACAATAAATATATTATAATTGACGTATAATTTATGTTTTTACATATATATAAATAATCCTTTACATAAATAATCTTTTTTTTTTACGCTTAATTTAATTAATATTTAATCTATGATATAAGCCGATTATTTGAAGGAGATAAATCACGGTCAGTTGCTAAACTAAAATTGAAATTGTATGGTTTAAATACCAATTACTAACAATAATCAGTGACAAATAATAGACTAAAACTTTTTAATTTCTTTTATATTGATAAATTTCAGTATATGCCACAAATTAAACGAAATTTAGATAAATCATGTTTTTTTATATAAATTATCAAAATTCGAATGATCGAACTCTTTTTAACGATATTACATCAATATTTTTTAGATTTCGATTAATTTTTTTTTAGATACGGAAAAAATAAATATATGCCAGAATAGTAGCGGATAAAAAATGGATTTTGAAATTATATAGACATCCATTAAGATAATATTTGAAAATTTATTTTTCCAAGTAAATGTCAAGAATATGCATCTAAGAAATTCTAAATTCTGTATTTGCTTAAATCTCGAAATGTGCAGTTTCGTTTACCATTTTTTGTTCAGCAAATTGATTCTAATGAGTCTAAAGAAACTCACGTGTTAGAATCTCAAATATTCCTTTATCTTTACGCAAGTATTTATTGCGACGTAACACGATGAATTAATAAAATCGTAAATATTTTCTTAGGTGATATTGAAAAAATTTATAATTTTTTTTCTCTTCATCAGCATGTTGACTTTCATTTAAGATATTTAATTGTGTTTTATTCATTTTCAAAAACTAAATGACTCCTAAATTGATTAAAATGATTAATTGCATGAAATATTATAAAATATAATGATATTTTTATTGTATTTCATCTTTTTTTAGTTAGATCATTGATAATAACTACTAAGCTAAGTCACTTACGCTCAGTCTATAAGATATGTTGACTAAACAAATACATACTAACGTAATATTCGTAATACCAACAGGGAATGTTCTATCCCACTCTGTTTACTTGTTAAGTGAAATCGATATAAAATGAATTTAATATTGATGTCTGTTTAATTTTTTATTGTTAACATTCATAAATGAAATATTTACAGGTATCCGATTGGCAACAAGCAACTTCCGTATTTCACACAATGGGTAATAAACATGTTTGGCATAGACCCGACCGAAAGGAATGTGTCTCAATCGATGCCGACAGATCTACCAGAACCGATCATTTCTTCGGAAGTATTGGAGGCGATTCAAGAGTTAAATATCGAATATTCGTTAAAGGGTATAGATCGATTGATTAGGGCACACGGACACACGCTTCGAGAAATTTATCTCCTTAAACATGGATCGTTCGATCGAATACCGGATGTAGTTCTCTGGCCGAGTGAGTAATTAATCGAATTAATTTGTTACAAATTTTATAATTTGCACGCATCTATAACGCATGTTAATACAATGTATGTTCGAGCTTATATTCTTTTTTTAAATGAAAATGATTAAAATAATATTTAATTAAAATAGAGCCTTCGTTTGAATGCACGTTCCTTGTTTAAACTCTTCCGTCATTTTAAACAGAGATTTATCATTGAAACTTTTTTCCTTTCATTTGAAAGTATGCGGTAAACTTGGAACTGACGTTCGCTAAGTACACTGTAGAGGAATAGTGGATGAACTACGACACTCTTGAACCTTGACTTAGTTTCATCCTATAATTTCCCGAACATATTTTTGCATTATTCTACCGCGAATTGTGCGAATGAATTAAATTAAACGGATATACGGATGCGAGATGGCACGAATGAATATATACTTGTTTAATTTTTTCTTCTGAATATTTCTTTAATTATGTGAAGTCATCTATCTTTTTATTAATTATCCAAATTTACCACCATCGAACTTTGCATTTCTGTAGATTGCTAAACTTGTCTAAAAAGAATTGTTGAGAAAAAAGTTTATTTTTTATTTACTACGTAGAGTATGGATATACATGCGAAGAACGTATATATGTATATATTAATCGATATGTAGAAGAAATCGATAAGGAAGTTAAAAAGCATTGCAATTCAAGAGCACTAAACCGTACATGTCGTATAAAACTTAATATGCATACAAAAATATAATGAAAGTACGAATTCTACAATTTTCTTTTTTCTTTTATTACTTTTAATCTTGACTCTGAATGTCTGTAATTGAATATATAGTCCAGTGACTATATTTGTTCGTATTATGCTTTAAAATGTTGTGACATTTAACCACTTGATTGCTTTCGATGAGAATAGATGCCTGCAAGTGAACATATTCCCAGACTATGACTAATTTAGCTTCTCTACACTGGTGCATCAATCGTCGACATACCTACGCACATATACATTTATTCATGAGTCTACGTAATAATTACATCATTATGAGTCGGAAAACAAAAGATAAATTTATTTGAAGATTTCTTTGTTTTATGCGAAGAAGCTATTTTTCTATATCGTAAATAGATTTTTTTATAATTTCTTATAAATTCTTCCAAATTTTTCGGATCTTTAAGAATTTCCAAATTCGTCAACACTCTCCTCCGAGATTTGTAAATTAATTACCTCCATTTCTCTGCATTTTTTTTAATAATTCGTAGACGTTTTATTTTTTCAAACTATTCAAATTTATCAAAGACTTTTCAATTATTCGAAATTGAATGAATTTAATGTTTCTGAAATTTTTTCTATATTATGAAAGTGTCGAATATAATAAATATTTGTGTCTGCGTGTTTCTAGAGTGCCACGAAGACGTCGTAAAAATAATTAAATTGTGTGCTCGATATGGATCTGTCTGTATCCCATTCGGTGGTGGAACAAGCGTAAGCGGTGCTGCCTCCTGCCCGAAGAATGAACGACGAACGATAATATTGTTGGACACATCGCAAATGAATAGAATACTGTGGATCGATAGAGAAAACTTAATTGCCTGTTGCGAGGCTGGTATTATCGGTCAGGACCTGGAGAAACAATTGCGACTTCAAGGTCTGACATCTGGCCATGAACCTGATTCTTACGAATTTTCTAGGTACACGATGCTATATTAAGACAGAAAAACCCGTTTTTTTTGATCGCCAATATTGTTTCAGTATATTAACTGTTTGAATACATACACGTGTAATTTTACGACGTTTCATACGTAACAGGAATCGTCGTAGTTAATGTGTTACAAAATTTATTTTTTGATTTTTTATTGTTTATTTAAGAAAAAAGAAAAAAATGTATATAGAAGAAAATGAACGTCTAAACGTTTTAATTTATGATTATAATACAAACATTAGTGTAGACTTGCCTCGATGCAAAATGTTATTCTATTTAATATGATATTACGTGATGAATATTTTTTATATCTAGTTATCCTCAATTTTTTCGATTAAAATAAACTCTTATTGGTGTAATTATTGAATGCTAATCTTATCGCATTTAATTGCGTACATTAGAAAGGTGGCTAAAATACCTACCGAAGGTCGCGATGGAACTAAATGTAAAATATACATGTGTTTGTATTTTCACGTAATTAGCGTCTCTACGTGAGAAGTGTGAAAAGAAAAAGAACTATTTTGCTTTCATTTAAAGAACTAAAATTTAGAATGAAAATCACGAAGTGCTTAGCACTTAAGTTTTACTTTTACTATTTTTATGAATAAAATCTTTATTATCGTACGTACAGGTATATACGATAAAATGTATGTCAAATAGTTATTTACATCGACAGTTGTAAGACAAGACTACTAGCCGCATGATCGACTGTATTTCTTTGAAAGAACAGTTTAGGTGGATGGGTGGCAACGAGGGCGAGCGGCATGAAAAAAAATCGATATGGGAACATCGAAGACCTAGTTGTAAGAGTGAGAATGGTCACCGGCAGAACGGAGGATCCGGACATAACATTGGAAAGGGGTATATTAGTACCAAGAGCTTCCTGCGGTCCTGACTTCGACCATGTGATCCTTGGTAGCGAAGGAACATTGGGCGTCGTTACGGAAGTGGTGATCAAAATTAGACCATTGCCAAATGTAGTCAAATACGGTAGCATAGTTTTCCCAAATTTCCAAGCTGGTGTGTCAGCGATGCGTGAGGTGAATTTTCGTTAATTCAGTAGCTGCAAATATACAGTAGAACCTCGGTTATCTATTCAACTGAAACTTCGTGTTATCCGAGGCATTTAAAAGTTTATGAAATATATACTTATCATGACCAGCCGATTGCGATATCGCGTCGCCACTGTTTTGATTTTTGAAAATGTTTTGTTCTTTATTGTGAAAAAAACTAGATAAAGTATCGCTGAAATGGAAAAACAATAATCTTCTTGTACCAGGAATATTCGAATACAGTTACTTGTAAAGTTTTACATTATCAAATCGATTTATTTGTATTATCCGGGTCTATCTCTGGATAGAAGTTCTACTGTATAATTTAAATTACAAACTTAATAAGTATAGCCTTATATATGTACAAATCTTCTTTTTGTTGAATTTTTTTCTAAGATTCGATGAACGTTCTTAACTACATAAAAAGTATTAACTAATATATTTGAAAATTAACATTAAATATATTGTAGTTATTTGTCATAAAAAAAGTTGTATCATTTTTACGAACAGGTAGCTAAGAATCGATGTCAGCCGACTAGTATACGATTGATGGACAATGAGCAATTCCAGTTTGGTCAAATGTTACGACCAAAACCCAGCTGGGGTGGTTTAATTTTGCAAGGATTAAAACAAGCTTACATCACTAGGATAAAACGTTTCAAATGGGACCAAATATGTGTCGCTACTTTATTGTTCGAAGGTAGCTCGGCTACGGAAGTGGCAGCGCAGGAACAAATGATTTACAATATCGCGAAGAAACACAATGGTGTTCCAGCAGGGGAAACGAATGGTGAACGAGGTTATCTCTTAACATTTGTCATAGCCTATATCAGAGATCTCGGTCTTGAGTACTATATATTAGCTGAGTCATTCGAGACGTCTGTTTCCTGGAATCGTGCGCTGTCGTTGTGTAGAAATGTGAAATCTCGTGTTATCAGAGAGTGTTATTCGCGTGGTATTGAACGATATCTTATCTCTTGTCGCATTACGCAAACTTACGATGCCGGTTGCTGTGTGTACTTTTATATGGCATTCAATTACAAGAGCCTTCTGAACCCGATAGATACTTATGAGACTATTGAACACATTGCCCGCCAGGAAATTCTTGCAAATGGTGGCTCTCTATCTCATCATCATGGTGTAGGAAAATTACGTTCTTGCTTTTATGCGGATGCGGTAGGAAAAGTGGGAGTGTCCCTTTATAGAGCGGCGAAAGCACATTTGGATCCTCATAATATATTCGCGGCTGGAAATTTGGATTCACAATGTTTATCGAAACTATGAAGTGAACAGTAATGAAATTGTGATAACTGGGAACTATACTGAGAATTATTTTGTTTGGGAGGTTGGTTTCTATTAAATGGTATTTGGTAGCAGCTAGAACAGAAGGGGAAAAAAAAGACAATTAACATTGCCATTTTTGTTGATTGAAATGTCGTGGTGGTATAAAGAAACAGTGGTATAAAGAAAGAGATTAGTATAATATAAAGAACTATGGTGTTGTTTGGTACAAATACGGAATTGTAATTGTATCGACATTTTTATAAGTTATTATAAATAAACAAAACTTGCTTACTTGTAGTATTTAATTAATATTATCCGCAATCTTACTTATCAGAGTTTCTCTTATCCTTGTTTTATTTTTTTTGTCTGTATCTAATATGTATATTCTTTTATATATTCATTGAATATTTGTCATTATATATTCATTGAATATTCAGTCCATAAAATTAAAATTACTGTTTTTCTTTCAGGTCCAAATTATGTTATTATGTTAATGTAATCAACTTTTAAATATGTGTTAATGTATTTACATAATATGTATTCAATGATACTGAAAATTATAAGCTCACTGGTTATCAGCCTTTAAAGTAGATAGAAATGAGTCGAAATCGTATTCATCATCATATTGTTGTTGTTCCCATAATTCAGGGAGGATTTCTAAAACAGAGCGGCTAATGCCTGGCAACCCAGTAATTTTAGACATAGCATCATCCTGTATTTCTGATTTTTTCCCTTTGCCATTGTCCAATGAAAACAAATCTAGTAACTATAAAAAATTATTACAAATTTATCATCAATTGAAATTTCTTTGATAATTTCAAAAGTATACATATGCATAGTTATAACTATTTGGGCTTGAGGTAACTTTTATAAAATAAGAAATATAAAAATATCATAAGATTATACATAATACATTTTTGTTATTATAAAAATTTTTATTGTTGAAATAGCTATAACTATGTAAATTGATACATTTAACTTCATGTATTTTACCTGATCGGTAGCCATCGTTTCTAGAGACGCGTTTTCCGGTGAAATCACAGTATTTGCAGTAAGAAGCTTGAATTTTTGCAGACCCATAATCTTCTCTTCTACTGTTGATCTCGTGACTAACCTATACACATTCACTACTTTCTTTTGTCCAATACGATGTGCTCGATCCATTGCTTGAAGATCTTTCATAGGATTCCAATCATGTTCCACGAATATAACAGTGTCTGCACCAGTTAAATTCAGTCCAAGACCACCGACTTGAGTTGTAAGCAGAAGCACGTCTATCGATGGGTCTGCGTTGAAACGTGCTACTACGGAATGCCTTTGCGTTGCTGGTATACTTCCATCGAGACGAAGATATGTAACAGTTGGTAGATGTGTACGAAGAAGATCTTTTTCTACGATATCTAACATTGCTTTCAATTGACAGAAAATTAGAGCTCGATGTTGGCTCACTAATTGTTGTTGTTGCGGTGGTTGATTATCTGGTGTAGTACCAGGAGCTGCAGAATTACGACATTGTTGTTGTTGTGGTTGTCCTATGCCGCAATCTAATAACAACTGTTTTAATGCAGGTAACTTGGCTCCGTGTTCTATCTCTGCTAACGTACTCTTTTGTTGCTTCAACGTATTGGATACCTAGAAATAAAACAATTGTTAATTTAAAAATTACAAATGAGAAATTTTTAACACTGTTATGTTGACACTAACTGTTGTGTATAACGGATGTCGTTCACTTAATACTAATTTTGGATGATTGCAAACATTACGCAGATATCGTAATGCTTCGAAAACATGACCACCATGTGCATCGTTTCCAGTTGAAGTACACGATGTACTGGATAATAAACTTGCAGAATGTCGAGTACGGAAATCCTCATATAGCATACGTTGTAAGGGTGATAGATCACAATAATAATCTTGCGTAATTTTGGGTGGTAAATCTTGGAGGACATCTTCCTTATTTCGTCTAAGTAAGAATGGCAAAACCTGTGCAATGCAAAATTACAAAAACTTATAAATTATTTAAATACAAAAATAAAACATAATGTATATAGCAAAAAAAAAAAAAGAAAAAAAAATTACTTGTCTATGAAGTGCTTCCATTGCCAAGGCCCCCGCTTCCTGTTCTTTCGGGCCAGCTTTTGGTTCTCTACAGGCTAGTATAGGACGCGAATATTTTGCCGCAAATTGTTTTTCAGTACCCAAGAAACCTGGCATTAGAAAGTCAAACAAGGACCATAGTTCAAGTACGTTATTTTGTACTGGTGTCCCCGAGAGTATAAGTCTGTGATTCGCGTGCAATCGTTTAGTTGCCTTCGCACTTTTCGTTTTTCCATTTTTGATAACGTGGCCTTCGTCGAGCACACAGTAGTTCCATTGTCGAGTTTCGAAATAATCGATATCCTTACGCACTATGTCATAACTTGCAACGACGAGCCTGTGATAAGTAACTTTTGGACGTAATCTTTCACGTTCCGGTGGGGTACCAGCATATTGTAACACCGAGAGATCTTTGGTTTCGAAGAACTTTTCTGCTTCATACACCCAGTGACCAGTCAGAGTTGGTGGACAGACTACTAAACTTGGCGGAGCATGAGGGTTACGGTGATGATCCAGCGCTAATATACAAAGAGTTTGTAACGTTTTTCCAAGACCCATGTCATCACATAGAACTCCATGAAGTCGATAACGGTTTAAGAAGTTTAACCAGTTCAAGCCTTGTCGTTGATACGAACGCAATTCTGCAGCTACTGGAATAACTATTTCGGTATCTGGGATACTGCGTGGGTTCAAAAGTTGTTCTAAGAACTGCCGCTCTTGTGCTTTCTTTTCTCTAGAATATTTAAAAAATTTATAACATATATACTGAATTTACGCTTGTTAATAAAATTTAAACTTACACTAATTCTGGTGGATCTGTAATCGCACCAGGATCAAGAGGTAAAAGTTGTACGAGTGTTGCAAACGTGGCACTACAAGCTAATCTTACAGCCTGATTCTGATCACTCATACGTCCAAGTAAAGGAACCATAAACAATACAGCGTACGGAACAATATGAACTCCTAAACTTTCGACGAGACACGTTAACGATTCAGCTGCGCCTTGTCTTATTGAATCAACTTCATTTGGTGCTGTTACAGTTGTTGAATATATTTTCTCTCCACCGGTTGTTTCGAGAAGTGGTATTACACGGCGTGTTACGTGTAGTATTATCTGGAATAAAATTTTTTGAGATTAAGATTTAATCATTAAGTTGACATTGATTATATTAACTTGAAGCATTACCTTCTCCGTATCTAATGTAGCTAGTACAGCGATACATCTGGCTGCCATGTGCCTAATGGCTTTATAAGGATGAGCCAATAATTTACATAAACATGAGAGGCATTCTAAAGCAGGAGGCAACAAAGCTTTATCAAGACTAGGAGCCATAACTTCTAAAACTTGCAAACCAAAAATTAATTGATTCACTTCTTCTTGAGTATTTTCACGGCCATCAATTTTGTCTTCTTCTCGTAATATATTTGGTAATATTAGATCCCAAAGATGTGGCAAACGTGTAGGTAATTGTGCACCAAACAGGGTAGCTACAAAAGTAATTTATATAACAATATTGTAATTTTATTTTATAAAATTACAATATTGTAAATTTATATAATAGGTTTATATCAGATTAGACTTTGTATTACAAACCTATAGCAGTAAGTGCCAAAGTAGCTCCACGACGACGTGTTCTAGCAGCTTTAGCTTCGGGTTCTTCGCAAGCAAGTAGCTCTTCTAAAGGAATTTCAGTTGTCGGAGGTCGGCCAGGCCCTCTGCCTCCACCAAGTCCGCTGTTGGCTCCCCGGTTATAAGCTATTCTTTCAGCATGTTTCTGTCTATTGTTTAAAGTAAGAATCCCGTCAAACAGATCTGTGTCCGTATTACAATTCACACGAGGTGTGAATTCACTATCCGAGCATAGGAATGTACATAAATTGGTTGATATCTATGACGTTAAATTAAATTAAATTATTCAAAAAGAAGGTAACAGCTGTTTGTACTAATTACATTAATCATATTTCTATGCAAACCTTTGCATTAGGAGAAGGATTTCTATCTACGCAAAGATCAACTAGATAGGACAAATGCTTTGCAGCCAGTTTTTGTAATTCTTCGTTTTCCTCACGTTTAATAGCTTCCATTAATGGTTTTACCAATGGATTAAGAGGTTGTGGAGATGAAGGAAGACAATGTAACATTGTTGCAGCGCCAGCGAGTGCCGCCATTGACATAACATTGTACGAAAGCTGCTGGGCTGCTGTATCAGCGGCCCCCACTTCTAATGCTTTTCGCCTTTCTTCTAAACTTTCGATCAACTTTGGTTTCAATTTAATCGTGCTAGGATTGCTATTAACGTTTCCATTAGATCCTCCGGAGTTCGTCGTACTGCCCATGGCACAAAGTTTTGAAATCGGTTTTCCTGCAAGACTTGCAATTTGATCGAGGGTCATCACTCCCGATGCATTTGTTTCGATAGGAACAGGCAATTTATAATGTTTGAGAGTGGCAACATAATCACGACTATCGTGCAATAGGCGAGTAAAAGATGTGGCGATTTCATCATAGTATACACACTCGTTCAAACACTCTAATAGTTTCTTCCTTTTGAGCACATATTATTATTATTATTATATTATATCAAACAAATATAAGATAAGAAGATTTAATTTTATACCTTAAAATATCTGGTATTGCAGGTGGTTTTATGTTATTTACAGTCGCCCAATGAGACATCGTCAAACCTGCAACGGTGCGTTGTAATGCCGAACGCGAATTAAGATGTGCCAGTAATACTTTAGCGTAACAAAGTGAAGGACTAGGTATATCCGGTGTGTAAATAACACCCGGTGCTGGTTGTACTACGTAATGCGATAATAATCCTAACATTCGTCCCGCTCTACAACGAGCCTGAACTACGTTTAATTTCCTTATGTTTTGAGCTACGGTTTCGATTCCACCGATATAAACTTTCAATTCAGATATGGATTTTATATTTCCGCCAACAGTATTATTTCCTCCGTTATTACTAGCATCTGCTTGTCCATCGCAAATACCAACAGTTTGATTACATTTAACTCCTTTATTAGGAGTGCTTACTATCATTAGTAAGTTCGGATTAAATGGCACGTGTTCCGGTTGCATAGCAAGACAGAGCCACGTGCTGACAAGAGGACATGCTGCATGTAATAAAAGCTCGAGATCACTTTGTACGACTAGATTTTCCCAAACACGTTCAGCTACGTCTTGTATGGCAACTACGTGTTCTATTAACACTCGTTGAAAAACATGACGGAGAGCTTCTTGCAATACAAGTCCGCCTCCTTCGCCCCATCGCTCTTTTTTATTCTCATTAGGAGCACCGTCGTCTCCGGTTAACGTTTGTAATGTCTGTAAGGTGGCTTTACGTACACTCGAACTAGAATGACTAAGGAATGGCCATAATCGTGGTAAAACCTAGAACCATATCAGATTAATATTAGATTTAAATAACAAAAAATATATTAATATAAGCTTATATTAATATAAGCATTATAATAAACTTTACTTGCGACAATGGCTGAGGTGTGAGACAAGTGCGCGCCGAAGACAACGAAAGTATAGCAGCAAGTAATCCCATAAAACTATTACATGCTGCTGCTAAATCATCTTGTTCGTGTAAAAGTTCCCAAAGGCGAATTACAATTGCTTCTAGTTCTGATGGTTTTAATAAACGTGGTAGAGCAGATGCCACTGGTATAAGCGCGCTTGCTGCAGCAGCGCCTACATCATCGACCGGGTCAGAAAGGCCTTGCATAATGGCTGGAATTACTCTCGGTAGTATATCGTCTAACAGATCATCTCGTACAGCGAGTAAATATTTCAGTGCAAGTAGGGCACCATGTCTTGCTTCCCATTCATCATGCTCTAACAATTTTAATATAACTGAAAGTATTCCTATAATTCCTCTATTTTTATTTTCATTATCGTTTTGATTTGGCACTAGTAACAAAAGAGAACCTAGTGCTTGAGCACACGTCTCTCGTACCGGGGCAACTACTTGATCGGAAACAAAATCTCCAAATCTATCTAATCCTAAAACACATAGTAGTCGTAAAGCAGTATCAACAAGCCATCGATAATGACTTTCTGCCATTTTCTCTGCAGTTTGATCCCTTGATTTACCTGCACCTGTATTAAATTTCAATTAATATTGTATTATTTTTATACTTTTTAGTGTCAACATTTTTCATACCTTTCCCATGAAGTTTTACGAGTTCCCGTAAAGCAGTTGCTGCTCCATGCCTTATCTCCCATTTTTGACTAAATAAATCTTGACAGAGACTTTCTACAAACGATTCCAGAGGCCAATCTATTAGAGAATCTGGCCAGCAACCTGTACCATCTGGTACTCCGTTGTTTGATTCAGTCTGTGTACTGTAATTAACGCCGATCTCTGACGAAATCACTTCCTCTAATTTGATTTTTTTATTTAGTGATTCGCCTGTACTATTGATAGGAGATTGAACATTTGAATTGTTCTGATATTCTTCGCTGTTACGATAATCATCAGGCTCCCGTGAACGTTGTTTTAAAACAGATTGTCGTGCCTATCAAAAAATCAGCATCATTTAGATTATCTTATTATATTAGTACCAACGAGAACACGTTTTAGTAACTCAATTATGTATTACCTTACGCCTAGCTCTATTCATTTCGCGTCTACTAAGCCCACCAGGTTGTTTTAATGTTTCACTCACAGATACTTTAGTCTGTGTATTTGAGGTAGGTGGTAATACTACTGGAGTAAGATCTTCAGCGGTAAATAATTCTGATGTATCAACTCCCATTAATCGCGGATGAAGACCCAATTTAGCAGCAATTTTTTCCTCTTGATTGGGAAGTAGCATTTGCTCCCCATCAGCAGCAATTAAATCATATTCACTGCCTTCTGATCCAGTAAGATATAAACTACGTGCTAAAACCTTTTCCATATCAAAGTCTTCCAAATTTAATTTATTATTTGCTCTTTTTGTTTCTCCATCCTCTGCGGGTCAAAAATTTTAATATTAACAACAAAACTTATCGTGTACAAATAATATCAGAAAATAAAATTAATTACCTGTACGTGTTTCTTTTTTGATAGGTTGTGGATCCCAAGCAGGAACTTGAGCAAGTATAGCTTGTATAGCATGTGCAGCTGAAACTCTGGTATCCCATTGTTGAGATTTTAAAAGGATAGAAACTCTTGCTAATAAATGATGTAAATCATGAGGGTGTAATCTCTGTGCTTCTCCTAATTGTTGTGCCGCAGCTCTTTTAGTTACTGCATTTGTCCCTGTTTCCAATAGTATAAATAATCGGTCCAACCTAATAGAAATCCATACATTATGATATATGCAATCATGTCATTAAGTTAGCTATAGTTAAATATGATTATTTGCTAATATTCTTATGCACATTTGTCATTTCCAATCTCTTTATTATTATATAAAACAGAAATATAGTGATGAATTTAACATAGTATGTTATAGAATTTTATTGATATTATAAATATAAGACTTAAAAATATTAATCAGACAAATATATAGTATTAAATATATTTATTAAATATAATCATTATATTATATTTTTTATATAAAATACACATAAATTTTAAGAATAACATTTTATTAATGTTACATTAATGTTTGATATTATATTATAATGGAATAAACAGTTTATTTTTACACAAATGTAAATATATTAGTGTAAATGTATTATTTTATACATTTTATTTTAGTATAATAATTGTCAATGCTTTACCTTGATGTCATGTTTACAAGTGATGTTCAATGAACAATTGTAAATGCCTAAAATCAAAATAATAGTATATTTATATACATATATATATATGTGTACCTACAAACACATAAGGAATAAATTATCATTAAAAATGAATTACATATTCACAAAAAAAAGATAAATATTTAAAAAGGAAACACATTAGAAATATAGACAAAGCAATTATTAAACGTATATTTATTATTAGATATTACAAAATTTAATAGCTAATATATGGAATTTATCTAAAATAAAATGAAGTGTAAAAACAGTGTATTATCTGTTATTTATTTGATAGAAAAAAAGAAATTGATCCATACTGGAAAAATCAATTGTCAAGCTTAAGAATGAAAGTTTGTGGTAGTGAGATTAATGAAGTAAAGATGATAGATGACATCTGCGAGGATGCGTTTTAAATCAGTGTACAAGTTCGGGGATTTAGATAATGTAAAGTTTGGAAAAAATGGTATAAATTTTAATTAAGAAAACAAAGCGGAACATAATATTTTCAAAGATATTGTAAAAAAACACAATATGGATATATAAATAAATAGTAACGAACAAACGCTTAAACATACCTGATTTTAAAATATAGCTTATTTTATTGCTAACCTTTAGCTAACCCGCATAGCCGTTTCCCACTGTATTGATTTTCCAAAAATCACATTACGCCGTATATTTCGAAAAAGTCGACAGATAGATAGACTACTTGTCAAATTTTTCGGAGAGAAACGCATGTTCAAGCATCAAATTTATACTGACAGCCATATTGCTGGGGAACCTGAGTTTTGTCCCCCAATTTTACTCTCATTGGTGGATTATTTACATCTTGTAGATCGATGAACCAATCAACGTTGTCTTCGTGCAATGATCACATTCTTCACGCTTCGTGCGTAGGACGAAATTATGCCGCGTATACATATTTATTAATTTTTTTCAAAATTATTTTGTAATCCATATCGCAAAATTATTTTACAATCCAAGAATACTAAATATATATTTATTGATTTTTCTTATTACCTTTTTGGTTATCTTCTAAAAGTATTATACAATTAAATATTTGCATAATTGAATTTTTTGGTAATTTATATTTTTTTCACATTGTTTCGAAAATTCTATATTTAAATTGTATTTATATTTTATCTTTTATTTATTTATTTTATATCGTTAACATATTATGATTCATTCAACATTTTATATTCCTAAATGCATCATTTTTCAATTGAAATATGTCTATTAACACATTTAAAAACGCATTTAAAAACACGAGAAACTTACGTTTTTCCTAAAACACAGTTAAAAATTCCTTAATCATGAATGATTATTGCAGTTAAAAACTGCTTCATGCATGTAAAACACTTTTGAACATTTTGGCATATTAAATGCAAAATTATTCAAATATGCGATATGATTAAAATTTTTAGTATTATATAATTTCGTATTTCGCGCCATACAATGACCACGTGATATTGTCTAAATCTTTCAAACTTCGATACGTTATAATTTTAAAAGTGATGAAAGTGATTTCATTAGTTTCGAGAATTTGAATCGAAATAGGAAGACTTCGTGCAAATTCAAGGTACATATTTATTATTTTTCATATTATTACAATATATATAAACTATATAATTTGATTTATTGATATATTTTGTTCGAACGTTGGAAATTCGTTGGAATATTATTACGAATTCGTAAAATTTCAAATTTATATTAGAATAAAAAATTATATAATTATAAGATTGTACTAGAAATAATTATAACTTGCAAATATTATTTCAACGATTATTTATATTATATTTCAATATTTATATTATTTCATAATTCGTACAACATATTAAGATTATTTTCAAAATTGAATAATATTCATTGTAAATAGGATAATTTTTATAAAATAATTTATGTAAATGTAAATTTTTAAATGATAAAATATAAATATTATAATGGAAACAGTTAACAAATCATAAACAAATCACGATATGCAAGGTTAAATTCTGTTCTAGAATAGAATATTATGTTGTATATATTACACATATATAGTTAAATGTTTAAACAGTATTTATTTTGCATTACAAACATTGCAAGTTGACATTATTTTTAACTAATATATGTTATAGTATTACTCTATTTCAACTGAAGACGTTTTTAATAATATATTAATGATATTTATAATGTCTATGACCCCCTGGAAATGAAAACATACAATGTAAATAATATTCTTTCATTATTTTGTAACAATTAATTATGCAAATTTATTATATATTAACTTACTGATACGCATGTAATTCGCGACATAGCCAACTGTCATACCAGCAAAAATAAGTTGCCACAGTGGAGCTGCTGTTCCTTTTTTAGGGTGCATATACTTTAATTGCCATCGCCAGTGAGCTGCAAGTTTATAACAATTAGATTAAATTCTAACATTTTAATGAAACTAAATGTAGATTATTGTAGAGTAACAATTTAACTGGAAAGAAATTAATTTTTATTTTTTGCTCTATATTATAAGTTACACTTGATTGTGAGTATTAAAGAAATTATTTCTGTTCCAATATTTTCAATGATATTGACATTAATAGTCGGATACAAAAAAGCAAAGATGTTATGTAATTTTTAAGCCATGGTAAGGCCACTTTATTTAATAAAATACCTCGTGAAATTAGCGATGCGAATGGTTTTAGCCCTTTCTCGCGTCTGGCAAACCATGCTGGTAGATCACGAATTTTTACTTGGCTAAATGGTGTATCAGCTGTAAAGATGAACGATATTTTATTAAGTCGTTCGCACATTAAAACGACAAAAAGTGATATAACTTACGTTTCCCGTAATATCGGGAGGGATCATATGGACCGTGTTTTGCACGATCATATCCTTCCGGATAACAACCCCAGGTATCAAATTTAATCAATTCAGCAACTTTGTTGAAAAATTGTTCCATTGTAATTGAATTATCGAGCACGAATCTTTAGTCAAGACGTTTCGGTTTCAGTGGTCTGTATAAAGGTTATGTCTGATATGGGATATTACTCTTTAGAAACAAAATCCCTAGATACACAAATTAAATTATTGTGTTTTCTTACTAGTGATTTTAGAAATTGTTATTGGTAATTATTTTCAATCTCCGTCATTCTTAAAACGAATAATAACATTAACGTAACGAATGTAAAATTAATTATTAATTTTTATTAATTTGGATAAAGAAAATTTATGTAATTTAGATTTAAAGTAAAAATTGTATATTTCTTTTAAATTCATTCAGCAAATTTAATGTATATTGATCTTTAAAATTTGATTCGATTTACGCAATCCTTTATTTTACAATTTTTACAAATGATTAAGAATTTTAATTCAAAGGACAGGCATTAAATGTGTATAGTTTAAGGTAATAATTATTTATTTCCAAAATTAAGATTTAGTTCTATTAAAACCAAATTCTTTCGTCCAGACTTGTGAAATCCTATGATCTGTTGATTAATCTTAAAGCTTAGTATTCAGTTTATAAATAGATTCTTACATGCAAAGTTTGTATCGCAGCGAATATCAAAATCTCGGCAACAAAATACAATTTTCTAACGCTCCTTCTAAATTGTAAAATTTCGTCGTTGCAATTAAGTTACTAAATCCATGTTAATTCAGTTTTATTTAATAAGTTCTCAAGCGTACGTGCGTATACTAAAAATAACAATATCGTTATACCTTCGAATTCTATCTAAGCGTATCAGATCTTTGATTTAAAGTACACAAGTAAGGCTACAATTACGTGTAAGGTAGTTGGTATTTGTGCTCGTTGTTAACGTTACTTTTCTATTCTTATCACTATCACTAGCCTCTAGTGGTCGCTTATTTTATTATATTCTTCGAGTACAAAGATTGTTCGTTTCCTCTCGTCCCTCTAGATTCGCGTAGGAAGTTGGAAATATTTCATGATTGAAAAATTTCGAGTCACACGAGCTCTCGCGTATTTCACGCTTTCACCTCTCGAAATAAAGTAAATCAATTTTCAAGGCTGAAGTGACAATGAAGCTTAACGAACGGCGTTGCAACTACAAAAGTCGGCCGTTTAAGGGTTTCTGTTATAATCTGTTAATGCGCGTCGAACACTGTAACGCGCTTGTTCGAATTACAATGAGTTTCAAACCCCCCCCCCCCCCTCTCGTCCCTCATTAATTTCGCAGTTATTCGAAAAATTAGTCGTACCTTCAATTATTAATATACCTTAAATTAATCAGTGTACTTATTTAAAATCGCTGGTCAAAAACTTGCCTCATTATTTTATAAACATTTTACACGAAGAGAATGACTAAAGTTCACAAAGGCCTTTTAAGTACTCATTCAAGTAAATTTCATTAGTTTACCGAAACGTGGGAAGTTAAATTATAAAAGTTCGGAGGTCAATAATTTCTAAAAATAGATTGAATACAGTTCCAAGTAGCATTCATCGTAGACAGATATTTTAATGAGTCAGGGCGAATTTCTTTGAAAAATTGCAATCAAATTAGTTAGATTGTCTCGTCGAAACTTAAAAAAATTTCGATGAGAAATGTTTACCTTTACTCGCAAATTTTTCAAGAAATTCATCGATGACATTTCCTCCGTTTTCATTTCTAGTATACCGCCGTGTAATAAAGTTATCCCAAATTTCAACAATTATACCTCGTAACACCCTTTCGTTCGTTCGATCCAACACTTTTGAAAATATATCTGTCCATAAGTGAGAATCATTTGAATTCTTCTCGTAAATGTTGTTCGAACTGAAACATTTCTATACGGAAGCAGCAACTTCTTGTTCCATTTCGTGCAGCATGTTGTATAGTCGTGTCTTCAAATTATCCGGAACCGCAGCACGTGGTAAATGTTCGATGTCACCGGCTGGATTCGCGCATTGTCGCAAAAGTACTGCCAGTGTGCTGGTGGTGTGCTCCGACATGAGTAATCCAGGAATTATAATAGTCCCTGAGAGAGTCCAGCCGAGAAATATTTTCTCGCATACAATCTGAAATTTAATAGCTTGTTTGAATTTGCCTGCTCGTGAAGTATATTTCGATACATAAGTACGTATATCTTTTGCAAAACAATTTTTAACCCAAGTGTTACAAATCCTACAGTTTATGTACGTTTGATGTAAAAAGATATTAACATAAAATTGAAAAATTAAAGTCACTGAAAACAATTTTAAAAAGAAAATCTACTTTCACAGTAGATGGTCGAAATTTGCTTTAAAATGATCCGACAAATCAATCAAAATTCGAGATTATTTAATTATTAATCAATTATTATTTTGAGATTTAATAATGACCGTGGTAATGTAATAAAAAAAAATAAGGAGTTTTTACTCTTTTCGTTCTTATCTTTTTCATGTGTATGTGTATCGTGAAACTGTGTATGTATTTTTGGCAACAGTGATAGTTTCTCGTTGACCTTAATTGCCAGGTTCCATTAATCTATGACCTATGGAGAATTTCTGAATAATTGGAAGTCTAACACGAGTCAACGCTCTTTTGTCATAACAGTCAAAACAGTTAATTTACAAAAATTCGAATTTTTATAATTAGAAAATTATATTCCTGTATATGCATAAAGAATATTTCTATTATATATTTTATACGCATATGGAAAGAAATAATGTTATGTATAATAGTTTCATAATATTAATATATTGCGTAGAGTTTTATCGTGTAAGTAGCTGTATCTAGAGATAAAGTTACTCAAAAAATAGAAAATCTTCCAGTTTGAGCAGCGCATGAGAAACCTTATACTATCCAACATATAATCTTCTCGTCGCATATAATCTTCTCTTTTTATCCTACTTTTAGTCAATTTCTAATCATGTCTCATAAAAACACGCTATTATCGAATAACAGAAATGCAAATAGATAACATTTAAAAACAAATATATTTTTTATTATTTTCTTTTTTAAATCGACGCCCAAATAATTTTTATTTGATCTAAAATTTAAAATTGCTTGATACTTCGCATGCAAATGTCATTTGTCTTTTTAGTATTTCTCTGATTTTTATTTGGATTTCATTAGAAATTTTTAAAAGATTAAGAAATCTTCTAAGAAGAGAAACACACGATTTCGGTCGAACGCAGGGGAATTGAGCAAGCAAATTTTATGCTACCACGTTTAACGATTTAGCCTCTCCTCGGGCTGTTTGTCAAATCAATGTTAATTATTCGTAAAACAATTACTTGTAAATTATTGTTGGCCACCGGCGACTCGCATCGTTTGTTCTTCGAGCAGAAGGACCTGCAGTCGAAGTAGTCGCAGTCCTCGTGCCTCTCGCATCTCTTGCTGTCCGAGGTGATACGGCTGATAATCGTTTTAGGAAACGCCGCGTCCAGGTCGAGGAACTTGAGCTTCTGCCCGCCGAGAGGCAAACCGAAATGGTTTATCTTCACGTCGCACAGATGGATCGGTTCGGGGAAGTTGGTGTCGAGTTCTTCCAACAGGTCGAGAATCATCACGGCCAGCTTCAATCGTTTCGCCCATTCCGGTTTCGAGTCGGACAGCGCGAGGATTGTCGTGGGTGTTTCTATAGGTCGTACGTACTCGACCGCGTAGAATGTGCCGCATGTGCCAATCAACTGTGGAAAAATGTCTCTGTCCTCGTACAGTATGCTCATCAGGTACTCGTTCTCCTGCAACAGCGGCCAGAGATTTTCCATCTCGAGCTGTCGCCTTCTGGGCTCGGTCTCGACACGATGCGTACGAAGTCGCGCGAGCCTCTCTAATTGATGCTGCGACAGCGTCACGTTCAGCTTGCTAACGACCAGATCTTTGATCATGGTGTTGAAGTCTGTCTCGGACGGGAAGTGCTTTGTGCCGGACGCGTCCGTCCAGAACAACGACTCGAACTGCTCCACCGGGGTCTTCGTTCTGAAATCACAATCATCGCAACGAGCTTGTCCTTTCAGATGCTCCTCCTTTTCAATTGATTCTTTGAAATCGCTACGATTGTCAGTACAGCTGATTGATCAACTGATGGACTGTGGACTTTTAAATACGAGAAATCTAAAAGTCTTCTATATATCACAGATAGTTATAAAAGCTCGATAGCTTGAGAATTTCGAAACCGTATCGATCAATTCTACAAAGTTTTAAAATTTACTCCAGAAAATAATAAATTTATGAATGTAATTCGTTCGTACGCTCCTCGAAGATTAAATATCAATCCTGTACTTGTGCAACGAAATTAAGGAATTGATTTAAAAAAAAAAAATAGAAAAAATAGTGTTGATCAGTTTTGGCTTTCGAGAGGCTCATCTTTTGATAAGATACGAACCTTGAGGCCTTGAATACAAGTCGGGTTGTCTCCCAGTGGGCCGAGAACACCGCCTCTTTGCCAGCGTGAAGAGTTTCGCACGCGAGCGAGTGAATCCCTCTCTCTGCGCATAGCGGGTCGCAGAGAATTCCTATCGCAGCCCCTTTCTTGTGCATGCTGCACTGAAATGAAAATTATGATCAATTCTCAATCAATTTTTTTCTTCACCCTCCAAGCAATTTGGAGAAACTTGGTGCAACGCGATCTTGTTACAAGCTTGGAGTTCTCCTTCTCGTGTAATTCTTCTTTTATATATTTTTTTATTCGCTTTACAGTATTTTTAAGAGCATCTGTTCGGCTAAAGAGTTACGTAAGACGTCGAACTGAGACAGAGAACTTTTAAAGCAGTTTTGGGGCAGAGCTAGATCTCTTCTAATATGTTATTATACTATACATTTATTATTTGCATAGTGGTTCGTAACTTCGTTTAAGAACGCATAAGAGTGGTCTGAAGAATATACAAGATGCTCTCATTGTATCGACATATTTAAAAATATTATCTTGTCACTTATAGTTGCCTAGTCCAATACAACTAGAGTGATCTATATATAAAATGTCCTCTTTAAATTCTTGTTTCGAAATATTTTAAAATACTGCTTCGTTACTCGCACTAATTGTACAACAGAAATATTTACAAATTATTTCTTGCAATTAAAATTCTCTAAAAGCTACGTATAATTTCAAAATTACCACTTCCATCAAAAGATCGATCTCTTACAAAATTCAAACAAGTAAAATAAAATTGTTGTTTCCTTGAAATAAAATTTTCATACCAACAATAACAAGCAGCTAAAGAAGAGAATCTACTGTCTTGGGAGTCTTGTTTATCCAAGAGAACGTGCGACTCTGTTCCGGTCTCTCAATGAAATCGAACGACTTTCATTCAAGATATCTGCAAGTTCGTCGCGATAGAGATATTTGAATCGGCCAAGCCGGTCTGTCTGTGTAAAAGTCACGGTTTAAGGGTTACTCCGCTGGTGAAAAGCGTCTGGTTAGGTATCGTTACAGTTAGCATGTAAGTTTATTTTCTTACATTTGGTCGCGTATTCGCGTTCGTTACGTTCTTCGTTATATACTTTGTTTTTGAAGCCATTTTAGAATGAGGTAAGGTTATTGCAAGAGCACGCTGCACAGGGGGTTTCCATAAACAGAGTAAAGAGACTATTTTGCGAGACTTTGCCCGGATAATAGATTAGTTTTCTCCTTGAGCCACGTACACATGGTATACAAGATAAAAACACAAATGCAACTTTGTATTTAAGAGGATTGTAAAGAGGTGTAAATTAAAAAAATTAGGAAAAATGGGGAAAAAGTTAAAGTGAAGAATAGTGAAATTTTACTTCTTCCTTAAATATTTTGATGTGAATAGATTTAGTATTTTAATGAACGCGTTAGTAATTTTACATTAATCTTTCGAGCGAAGACTATTGAATATTTTGATGTGACGAAGTTTAATATTTTATTATTTTAATGGGTATACTAGTAATTTTTATATTAGAAAATTATTATATGTTTAAATATACAATGGTGTGCAAAGCTCGTCGGTCAAGTAAATTTTATTTTATATTCTAAATTAGGTGTAAGTAAGAGAAATAATACTAATATAATAATCATTAAAATTTTTTAAAATGTCTTAAAAATTTTGAAATATAAAATGAAAGAATAGTCTCTCAGTATAGACACTTTTGTACAAATATTTCGAAATATTTTAATCATTTTATAAACATACTATCTTCTATTCAAATTGTTCTATCCTAGAAATTATTTTATATGTTTGCTCCTATAATAATATAGCGTCTCAATAGAAAAAACGACATAGTTTATATATCGATTGCCTTCTACGAAGAAGTAAAACCAATAATAACTTTAAACTTATACAAGCTCATAGACACGAGCTCGGAAAAAGAAATTATCGGCAAAACTTTCTTTATGATTAAAAAGGGCAACGAAGATTTACATCTTATACAATTATGCAATAAATTCACGACTTTAATTACAGAATTTTATTATGACCTTCTTATCATTGCGCGTCCTCTTTCGCGACGCCCCTGTTCCTCTGTACTACTTTCTACTCACTGTTCCAAGTTCAAAAAGAAAGAAACGCTAATCCTTATCGTCGTCCCAGAACCACAAGCACGAACACTCGAGAAACGGCCGACGAAAAGATTCTCGTTCACCGAGAGAGCTAAAACGAATTACAAGACTATCGCGAAGCATCGAACGGGCAATAAAAACGAACCTTTCACGTGCAATATGCTTCGTATAATACTTGACATTCAAAAATCTCTTTCATTCCTCATCACGTAAAAAATATGTTCGTATAATATTCTTCTATTGACACTGAGAGAAGAGTAATTTTAAATCGAAGTATAAGAGTTTTGAATCAGAATATTTATGGAATGCAGAAATAAGTCAAGTCACATTTATTATCAGTAAACAGTATATTAATGTTGCAAAAGTGGAAAAATCTATATCATATTAGTATCACCGCCAAATAAAAAGGCACTTTAATAAATTTGATTATCGAGTTCTAAAGTTGTTTATGTGACTTTCATTTATATTGAACATCAATAAATTAATATTATCGATAGCACATTATCACGCAATCGGCTTTCTGAATTTGAAACAGTGGTACAGAAGTACAAAGACACCGTGAAAGAAAGAAAGTGATGACAAGGTGACAATAAAAATCTACCTTTTTACAGAAAATCTTTATAAGATGGCAGTCGCGATAGTAACAACAAAATAATTCGGTTCAGAAAATTTAATTCCTTATTAAAATTGTTAAATACTACAAAATACCTGAAAATAGTTCAAGATTTGACGAAGCTTTGAAAGAAAGCTAGAAAGTTCGAAGTGTTTCAATAAGAAAAAAGAGTAAAAATTTTCGTTAAGCGTGGACAGATCGTTGAATTCTTTTACGTTCGATCTGTAGATGTTGGAGCATCCTTCGGAATGGGGGCAATAAAAGTGAATTATTCTCCTGCTGCGTGGGCGGTACTTGCGTTACATACAAACACGCGTGTATTTGCACACGCATGACTGGTTTCGCATGCGTGCGATACACGTTTGGATCTGTACGTACGTACGTGCTGTGGACTATGCACAATGATTTTTATTCGACGTGACCGCCATGATGAGAGGATTTCTCAGGTAGAGCCGGGCCCCATGATATGCGTATCACGCGCCTTTGTGCACCGGTAAGGTTCGTTTCGAGTTGTATTATATGTACGTTTTTTTTTTTTTTCGAACGCCACCGTTGTATCTGGGCCGCGTTTTATTATCGACCGGATACTGGCGGAGGTTCCACGTTTCTTTCGCGCGTTTCCCGATACACTCTGACATAGGAAAACCGATAGGAAACGTGTATTAGAGTTGAGAATTTTTTGGGAGTAATGAAATTTCTGCGAGAGTTTCACACGAGTGATTTTCTTTTGCTAAATCCAGTTGGCTTGCAAAGATTCCGAATACAGATGAGAAATATCGCGAACAATAGTTTGATGAAGTTTCTTTGTTTTATAAGATTGCTCAATTTCGAAATTTAAATTAAACCGAAGATACGAAATCTGATCTTTTAATTTCTGTTCTTGATGTTTGTGCTTGTTAGAAAAGATCTTGAACGTTCGATTTGAGAAACTGTTGTATAATTTAATGCGAGAACCGAGAAGTGTCTTGGGATTTTTTGAAATTTTTCGAAAGGCTAAAACAGTGAAAAAATCGCACTTGATCAAGCGATTCAATTTCACTAGAATTAATGGGAAAGTTACGTATGATTCTCTTTTACACAAAAATTACGCATGACTTTACAATTTTATTTTCGAAACTTAAGCATGATTCACGCGATATATCAAATGGCAAAAAATATTAACAAAGCTGCTTCAGAAGTAACTTTACATTCTGCTGCACTCTTCAAGTTGTAATATATCAAAATCGTGGAGTAGTATTTTACAATTATCAAGATGAAGAAATAAGTTTCATTTACGTGTAAACTGCGTAGTTTGAAATTTATAATCACGATATATTATATATTAATGTATCGAGATTTGAAGAAGAAATTCGATACGAGCAATTCGTGTTTAATATTTTGAACGAAGCACGAAGCTTTAAGCGACTCGTGAGTCACGATACACTCATTTAACTATACGTATAATACATACCTATGTATCAATATTGCAAAATAAATACCGTTGATCGAACATAATATCTTGTCGCTTGAATTATTCAATAATTCACGAATTAGCGTTCACGGTTTTATTTTTAACATTTGCACAATGTTGCAAGCAGAAAAACCATTAAACGGTATAATAATTTAGCACGAGGATCATCCAGAGACATCTTTTCGCGACCTCGCGTGCGTTGGATAATGCATTACGTAAACGTTTTCGTTCTTAATATTCCAGCATGATAGTGTGGCTTGAATATAATGACTAGTGACACTAAGCCGGCATTCGTTGCCTCGTCACATCGATGCAACCAGTCTCTCGACAAATTCAATTTATGACCACGTTCGACGAATTTTTCTTTTTTTCGACCTACAGCTGAAGAATGTTAATCCACTTATAATTGGTATTGAGCATACGGTCGCGGAGAGCCGCAAGCCATCGTAAAAAGTGCACAAAAGTCGCTGTGAATTACAAAATTGCGTATACAGTAGCTTGCGAAAATATTTGTATACTTATAAAAACCATACGAGATATTTTGTAATTTTATTAACATTGTAATATATGAGCAAACTGCGAATTTTTATGCAAATATGTACGGAGTCGCGATAACGATTTGTTTTATTTATTAAATATTGTAACGAGCCCCATTTGGATATTTTGGATATTTTGTTGTATGGTTTTGCACATCCGTCGTATTAATGAAACTCGATATTCAGAGGCGCCATTTTTAATATTGATTGCACGTTTGGAAATGGATATTTTCAATTTGTAAGAAAATTTGTTTCTGTCCGTTTACCATGTAGGTAGCACAGGCAATTCATTGAGTACAATGAACGTGTTAACCGATGTAATCTGAATGTCTTTAAATAAAATTCCATTGCAGCCACGTGCGCTGAATTACAATGAGAACGTAACGATGTTTTGTTTAACTGGATGTTCTCGATGTAACAACTGCACAAAGGACGCGATTTTTAAATGAGTCGTGGAGGGAACGAATGAATCTCTTTTAAAACTCTTTAAATTACAAATACGTCTTTACAATTAGAAAATGTCACTCGATTAATAACCAATAAACGAGCAGTTACATGTGTCTTCCACAAATTACTCTCAATTTTTGTCAAAAGAAGCACTGAAATGAAAAAAATTTCACCCTATCATACAATCTCAGACATACAGAAAAAAAGAAAAAAAAAAAAAAAAGAAATATTTCACCCATCGTAAACGTCGGATTTATTTTCAGACAGCAGCATATTCACACAAAAATTCTATCTTTCCAGGGGGCGAACTGGATTCGTAAGGTGTAATTCAGAAGAATTTAAACGGACGGTTAATCCGTAGTGATGAGAATCTACGCGAGAATTTACTCGGTTTATATACTCGGCAAGTGCTACGCAAAGGTCGAGAACTGGGACCAGAGGAATCACAACGGACGTAAATACACACACACCGTGGTAAGGACGTGACGAGGATTTTTTTTTTTTCTTTCCCCGAGAGACGAAGAATCTCTCAAGAAGTAGAGTATACACGTGAAATTGGCACGGTAGCGTGGCACAGAATCAGTCGGTTTCGTGCACGTCGTGAGGGCGCGTGCGTGCCCGTCTGCTCTGTTCCCTGTCCCTTTCTCTCTCTACCCTCTTTCGGTTTTCACCCCATCGCGAGCGTGACTCCTGTGTGTGATCCCAGCGCGATCTGGTACGTCTCTAATACGCTCTCTGTACGCGGTGCGTGTGTGTCGTGTGTAAGACCGCGTGTCGTGATCTCTCTCTCTCTCTCGGAGACTGTGTATCGAAAAGGACTCACCACGTTGGATACGTGCCGCCAGGCTTCGAGATTCGTGCACATAATACCCCAGTGAAGGAGCAGATAGACGACGAGGAGCATGGTCGTGAAGAGGAGCAGCGTGATCACCTTGTAGTGGTACATGAAACCGGGCAGTCGTCGGACGTTCATGATCCTGGGGATTGCTTCTGTCTCGGGTGAGTCCAAAGATTATCGGTCAATATTTTAAACCTTCCTCGTTTCTTTTATTCTCCCTCGGAGAATACTCGCCGATGTCGGTTGTTCTTCGCTCCAGTTCGACGCGTGTCCCGTTTCTTCTTCTCCTTCTTCTTCTTCTTCTTCTTCTTCTTTAGTAATTGTCCCGTCGGCGGCGTCCTCGACGGCGCATCGTGAGGACGTCTCGCGTCTAGCCTGCTCGCGATCGCAGGCTCATTCGCTTCGCTATTTTTCCTCCGAGCCTCGTCCCGACGACGCGATCGTCGCCCGACCGGTGCCGTACGCTTGTGGCAATGCGGCATAATCTGCGGCACATGCGAGCGTCGCGACGCCGCGCCTCTCGCGGCGGATCTCCCGACACCGTTCGTTGCGCAGGCTCGTATGCATTTAGACCACAGTACCACCAGGGAAAAATTCGAATTTCGCTCGATCGCCGACGATACCCCTTCGTAACCCGCCGTAGTGATTTAATATTTCGGGATGGGGAGAGCGGTCGGGGTAGAGGTTAAAACGGTTGGCAGGCTATTTTCGAACCGTTCTTGCCCGGCACTTTTTTTTTTTTTGTTCTTAAATTGCCCGAGTTTGCTGGATTTAACCCGAGATTTAGCTCAATCTAAGACATCCGTGTATACGTATATTTAGATTTCCTTTGGCTTGGTTATTTTGATCGAAGAGTCCGTGTCGATTGTTTGGGTAGACAAACTTATTCAAATTTCGCTTCATACATACCGTTTGGTATAACCGGTTCGACACACCGGTCTTCCCTTTCATGTTATTCGGGGATCGTCAACTATATTGTGTCAAACGCTAGTATTAAACATTAAAAGTAAATTCTTAACTGCGAGATTGTCAGATTAATTTAATATGAACGAATGAATCTTTAGTTCAGCCTTTTCGGCCTAGAAGTAGACCTCAGTCTTTACATTATTATTTACATTTCATTTTCCCTTTTAACTCAGTTAACTTAGCTGTCGGTGGTTTTCTTATTTCTTTCCCCTTAAATGCTAGTATCAGATTAATTTAATGTAATGTTAACGTTGTTATTGTCACAGTTTTTGTCGCGTGTTAATTCCCTGAGCAATTGTCACTGACAGAACTTGCGTCCTCTGTATTCATCACTTTCGTTACACGCGCGGCAATGTATTTGCATTGGATAGAATCGAAGATCGCCAAAAGAACGGTCGCGTTGTTGCAAATTGCGTTTAAAGATTAGCCCGGCGAAGGTTTCATGCTCGCGTACGACGTCGTATCTGTAACTGTTCTACATTGCCGCTGCTGTAGAAATTTTTTGCTGGCTCATCATCGTCGTGCGTGTGCACACTCTGGCCTTATGGTTGTGTAGTACTTGCTTGAAACGAACGAGGGGAGCTTTTAATTGGAGGTCCAGCTAGTGCTGCCTCCTTTGTCGTGCTACGAGACAGATGTTACTTGCGATCGTTGATGCAATCAGTGCGAACTTCTCGGAAAATTTGAATACAAAGAAGCTTCTCTTTGCATTTATTGTTTATTTCGCGGACTGTACAAATTTTTCTGTTTGATCGATATATAGATAAAATAAAATTTTAATCGGAGGCGGGAATTTTTGGATGGAAAAATTGAGTACTTACTGCTTGAGTAATACTTGTAATATAAAATATAAACATATGGTTAAAGATCTACGTGATCTCTGAGAGAAATAACGATCGATAGTGTAGGAGGGAGTTTTGCAAATGATATAAAGAAAATTTTATTTCTTCAGTGTATGAATATTTCCTATATGTTCCATAATTTATAATTATGAGATGTTGCTTTCTGTTTACATTTTCCTTCATTACATAAATTATAAATTAAAATAGATCTGAATATATAGGGTTCGTCAAATTTGGAAATTTCTCTTGAATTGATAAAACTGACATTGATTAACATTGATTAACATTGATCAATTTGGCTTCTGAGAGATTCAATTGACCTTTCGTGATTCACCGACGTAGCCGCAGTGACGTTGATGGTACGATAATTGTTTCATTGTCTCTACCGATAAATAAATTTGCCATTATTCCCACTCTTCCTCTTGATCTTGTTGAAACAAAATCTTTGATTTCAAAAACTTTTAAAAGTCTTTACAGTGATTCACGAAGGTATTTGAACTCTTCAAATATAATACCTTGTAAGTTCTTAGATTATCTATTTAGTATTGCGTTTACATTTATACACATATAGTACAATTCAAATGTACTTCCAATATTTGTTCAAATATTCTCGTTTGTTCAGAAATTCTAATACATTGCTACAACAGAGTAATTTCCCTTTCGAACGATATTCGGATGTTATATCATCAAAGCTGTTGGAATGTTTGCTGATCTTCTAACTAGATCAGCTGCTGGCAGACATTTGTACAGCCACGAAGATTTCGGGCACACGTTAAACGAACATTGTCGGGACGTCGACCGTTTATATCCGGTGGGATTTTCTATAAATGTCGAACGCGTGCGCGTTGGCCGTTTGCTCGTTCGGCGCACGCGCAAATCCGGCGTTTGAAAATTGCACACAGAACAAACAGATATGCCTCGTCCGGTCAAAAAATATCTCCGACACACACATATCGTCGAGACATTGACGCTCGTCAAAAAAATTTTTAAAAAATCTTTAAAATTTACGCCTTATAAACTGGGTTTACAAGCCGGGTCTTCCGTTTTCTCCACTTCTGGCCGAGGCGCCAGAGTTGGACATTATTCGAATCACATTTCGATAAATTCTTCGAATAAAATTTTATTCGAATAACATTTCAAATAAATTGTTTGAATAAAATTTTATTCGAATAACATTTCAAATAAATTCTTCGAATAAAATTTTATTCGAAATATTTACTGAAATAATGTAAAGAAAAAAAGAGTCAGGAGTCCTTTCTTCACGCTTTTCTCATTTGCAATGGTAACAAACTCGCCTAAAGCAAACAAATTAACCGACCATTAAAATGTTCGAACAACAAATTGTACTAAAAGCAAATTTATTAAATAAACTAAAAATTGTGAAAAAAGGTCTGCTGGCTCCTTTCCTTTACATTATTTCAGCAAAATATTTCGAAGAATTTGTTCGAAATGTTAAAATTTTATTCGAATAATGTCCAACTGTGCGTTCGAATATACTTTGTTCAAATAAAAATCGTAATTCGTAAATAACGAATAATTTTTCCTCGAATGAAATCGTTATTCGTAAATAATACGAATAATTCTTTCTCGAGTGAAATCGTTATCCGTTATTTACGATTTGTTGTCGAGTGAAATACGCCCAGCTCAGCGAGGCGCGCGGTAGATAACAGCCGCATCTCGCAGGCAGGAACGATTCGTGGCGGTTTTCAAATCTGTGCGCGTGGTCGGATGTATCGCGAAAGAGGGACGCACCTGCATGCCGCTTGGCGCGCAGCTGCGACCTTCGACGCCCTTGTGCCGGCGGTCGTGCCGCGCGACGCTCGTCCTCCTCATTTTTACGCCGGACGTACGCACGGTCACGCGCGGCGGTCCGCTCCGCTTGCTTTTCCTCCCGCACGGTCACGCGCGTTCTCCGTTTCTTCTTCGCCCGTTTTTCCTTTTATCTTCCGGTGACGGATTTCGCGAGGCAAACGACAGTGCGTTGCACCCTCACAGTGGGCCCGCTTGGTACTTCCGGACCGGAGAGTGTGCGTCCAGTGCGATACGTGAGTCGTGTCACCCGCGTGTGAAGCTAACCGGCGAGTAACCCTCTGGAAAGGGGGGGGGGTTTCCATCGGCGAAAGTTCGCGGTGGGTACCACGCGAACCAGCACGCGTTCGCCTTCCACGCTTCCTCCTCGCTTACCCAACCCCGTGCCACCGTGTACCTGCGCAATAGGTTTAAACGACCCCGTAGACGGCGCTCCAGCAAGCTGTTCCAGCTTACAGGTTGGGATTTCTTCTTCTACCGTTTGTTTCGACGTCATTCACGTCATTCGACTTCCAGTACTCCGTAATCGACGAGGTGAAGCCCGTTGTTCGCCACAGATTTTTAGAATCGTTAGCCTGGAGTTTCTTGTGCCAAATAATTATCGAGCCAATCGAGTGACACGTTGTTGGTTATGGAGTACGAGTATTTCACGTTGAGTGGAGTAATCATCTTGCAATTCGTAGAATTTTCGGCAAGCTCTTCGCGAGAAAAATATATTTATTCGAGCAAGATTCGTGGAATCGTATTCCTTGTTTCTTTTCCACTTTGTTGAGATAGAACGGTGTCGGTGGAACGGGAGTTTCGAATGTGATTCCGTGAGAAAGTTTTCAATGATATTTCAGTAGTTTAATTAAGCGTTTGTTTTGATTTACGCCGGGACATAGAATCGAAGTAGATGTTGGATTGTTTTGAACGGGAAGCGTAACTGTAACGAAGGTGGGGTATACTTGTTTTGATGATTGTGCTCAATTATGTCAGGGGGAATGTCAAGTGCTCGTGTTGGTGATTGAAATTGGAGCAGATGAACAAATTCGTTTTCATTACACAGTTAGGATGTGTGAAATTATTTGATTCGAATAATACGAATATTTTATTTCTAATAAAAATAAATCAATTATCCGCGATTGTCGTGTAACGTTTACGTTATATTTCTTATATATCTTGGTATAAATTTCCTTTCTCGAGCTTTAAAACAATCCTAAAAATATCGCCGGACTATTTAAATATTTACCCACGTGTATCTGAAAAATATGTCACGATGTGCTTTTACACATGTGAGTTACAACTATAAATAGCGTCGTAAGAAATCACTCCTCGTGATCAGATCTATGTATATTTTCGCGTGTATTATTATCTGGCGTGTAGTATTACACAATGATGATTATCCTCGTGGCACATCATCGGTGATTGCCATTCAATTTTGATATCGTCGGAGCGTAGTTGTGAAAATATCGACAAAAATTCAATCACTAGGCATATTTTTAAACAGGTTATTCGCGTTCATCGTGTTATCGTAAATTAACCACATCTTTCACCTCTTTGTCCCCGTTTAAATTACTCTCAATGTAATTATATTATTAAGAATGTATTTCTCGTAGAGAGTCGTATAGGAAGGATGAGTTTCAGCCGGCAGTTGGGCAGACAACTTTCGATAGTCTTGTCTAATCTGTCGGCCTATTTGCGCTCAGATTTGTTGCCCTTTCCATCGTAAAAATATCGCGAAACTCCCTGTTCGTTCTCCTTAATGTACAAATGAAAAGCAACGTTATTAATTGATAATTATTGTCAATTAACAATGAAAATGACAAATTAAACGTTCGAAACTTCGATTGAGATAGATGTTTGCGCTCGACGATTGACGAAACGAATAAGTTCGTAGGAATGCGTGAAAATTATCTGTCAATCGCTTTCGTTAATTTCGTGTATTAAATTTTTGATAAGTAGACTGTCGATATCTATATTATTGTATTATATTATAATATTATAATAATATATAGTATTATATATTATATAGTATTATATTACGTTATACGTTATATATAGTATTATATAGTATTATATTACATTATTCGTTATATATAGTATTATATAGTATATTATGTTATACTTATATTATATAATATTATATTACGTTATATATAGTATTATATAATATTATATAGTATATTATGTTATA